GTGCAAGTGAAACACAGTTTTCTTGCGATTTTTAAAAGCTCATTTTCAGCTCCTCCAGGGTAACTTTTTCATCTTCTTGTTAGGGAAATTCATATGGTATGGTCAAAAATGTCAAGATGATGGCAATAATGGTTCAATCAGAATTGTGCCTGATTTTTCAGTAGCATCTTAATGATCATTGTGTGAATTTTTTTGACCCCATTTTGTGGACATCTCTTCAGTCTGTAGATATGCAACCAGTACAAAGTAATGATGGAAAAATGGTAAAATGTGAATTGCAACATGATACACACTCTGGTCATATGAGATATAATGCACAGGTTAACCTTCATCAGTCTTCAAGTTGATACTCATATCCCTCCAGTCCTCAAATGACCAGCAGTGATAAGAAACTAAAGAATGCCTACTTCCCAGTGTCGGATAGGGGAGAAACAGAAAAAAATAATCTCAATAAATCATAAATACTTTAATAAATACATTAAAAAGATGGGGAAATAGTCCCAGAAGAATGAAAGTGCATTATCTTTGTCACTGTGAGATTCCCACTAAAATCATGGATTAGGAAGTCATCACAAGCATCCAGATCCAGTAAAATGATGCAGTATAGATTTGTCTTAGGCTACTTGAAGCCAAATTTTTTCCTTAACTTATTCCAGTACCTTTGGAATAAGCTTTCTGCAGAACTGAAGGTCCTAATAAGTCTGCTAATTTTTTTAATGCACTAAAACTATATTTTAAAGTAAGCTTTTAAAGCAACCTGTTTTAATATTTTTGCATAACTGTTTCATTAGAAGTATTATAAAGATTTCAGTACTCAGCAGCATAATGGTTAATAAATATCTGAAGTGCATAAATATCTCTCCAGGCACATTCATTGTAAATGCAAGAGCAAATATCAACACCAGTTTTAGGGTATCCATTTACTTGGGCTTTACATTAGTGAAGTATCAAATTCAATCATACTAAGGGTAAGCAGTTCTTTTGTGCTCAGGAGCTATATTTTTCCTCTATTTTGTTTAAAAAGTAAGAATGAAATCTAGTATCTCAAAAGGGGTGGATTTTGTGCTTGCTGGAGGGAATTAAAGCTGCATTAAAGTCAAAGTTAAAGAAGGAATTAAGTCATAGCATTATATCTGGTGACTCCTATTTCATTATTTCCAACCAACAATCTTCAGGAATCACAATTGTTCACTGACACTACCAGGGTTGCAAGAAGTGACCATGGATCATGAGTTTCCATAACGTAACATTCTGATCAGCACCAGAATGCCTACAGATCTCAGATAGTTCCTTTTGTTAATTATTGGAATTCCGTAAAATTTTGTTAGCCTCATGAAAGTTGTCAGCAAACTTGAAATTGTTAGCAAATTTTTTATACTCAGGAGTTAGAAAAAGTTGCCAACCCTGGTTTAGCATTACATGAGCAAGTCAAAATGTATCTTGTCTTTCTGAGTTTCTCCCTGTTCTTTTTACTGAACATGGCCAAAAACGAGATGGGAACTTTGCTTTAATCAAGATTTGCCATATGATTTTGAATAATAAATTGTGGTTAACCTCAATTGGGAGCTATTTAAAACAGCAGCTTTTCCCAATATGATGTGATATGCTTTCCCAATATGATACTCTCTATGTGTTGGGAGGACAAATTAATTTGCACTAATACAAATTACATTATACATTATAAATTATACTACAATAGTAAATTGTAATATAATTTCTCTCACACAAATAATTCCTGAGAATTCTGGGAGTTACAGTCTCAATATACATAGAACGCATCTGGTTACGGAAAGCTGATGTAATGGAATGTGCACCTGGAGAAGGGGGGAGGGGTAATTCCCGCAAGAGCAGTGCAATTTCCCAGGGAGGAGGCAGTGCATTCCAGAAAGAATCTCAAATTAAGAAACTGTACAGTCCCAAGCTTGATTGGGGAGGGAGAAAGAAATTCAGGATAGTCACACCTCTATTAGGGTAGAGAGTTATAACTTTAGTCTGGCAAGATTCTATTCAGTAGTTGTAAGCAAATAAAGAACTGGACTTGATTGGATTTCACTGTGTCATCTTTGGCTTTGGGCATGAAAGTAGGTTTGGCTCTAGATGAATACATAGAGATGTCCCTGTACCATAATTTTCTTGGCAACAATAAGTTTTACTTTCATGTGAGATGGGCAGCCACAGAAATGTGATAGATGATAGATAGATAGATAGATAGATAGATAGATAGATAGATAGATAGATAGGCAGGCAGGCAGGCAGGCAGGCAGGCAGGCAGGCAGGCAGGCAGGCAGGCAACTGATTATAGAGATAAGTGTGTGTGTGTGTTACCACTGTCTTTCTCCATTTTTTAAAAAAAATTCCTACCTAGCATATGGTCTCATTTTCCCATGCAAGTACTCACTAGACCTGACCTGTTTAGCTTCTTTTGAAGGTTGGGTGATGGTATGTAAGAAAGATCTTGAAAAACAAAGAGATTCTGCCTGAGGAATAGTCAGATAAGTGGGCACATAGCCCATAGCTGCTACCTCCTTCAGCAAACTCTACACAAAAGTCACTTTGGTGCAATGTGGAAAACTCCGCAGGCCTGCCTGTCATAAACATTTCTTACTGAGCAGTGAATGAACAGAATTGATCCTGGTCACCTCTGAACTTCTCCAGGTTCAAACTCCCATGGGAACGTAAGAATATTAGCTAAACTACCATCTGCTGTACTGCCGCAGGTTGAGACAAATTCTGTCCAGCTGTTGCAGTTGTATCATGGCAGTCTGCAAATTGGTCATCTGTGCCGTCACTTGCTGCTGGCATTGCAACAACACAGCGATCAGATCTTCAGCAGGTAGAGGAATTCCTTGAGGATCAGAGGCCATTCCTGAAACTCTTTTCAGAAGAGATTATGAGACTTGCAAAACTGATGCCAGCCTTTCCAGATAAACCAAGAGGAAATAGAACTAAATGAGCTGCTCTACTTTATTATAAAGCTGCATTGACAGAATCTTGCAAGTCTCCTGCTATCTCTTTTACAGTGTGAGACATTAAGGAGGATCCCTCCTCAGTTTCTTTCTCCACCTATTATGCAACCCCAGTAGGCTATGTCTTACCTGCTGTTCCCTGGGCAGCATCTCTTTTCTTAGGATGTTTCTCACATACCATCACCATTATGTGCTGCTGCCTAGCTTATGTTATTAATATTGACTTAAATTACTGAATTATGAACATAGTTGCAGAAATTATATGGAAATTATATATTTTAACTACCATATGGCAAAACATTTGTCAAAATAATCTGACTAGCAACAGTAGCAATGTTATTTGATAGATCTATATCTGGTTCAAAAATCTTACTCAGAGCATGCTCCACATCAACCTGAAATGGACTGCTTCAAGTTTCATTATGGGCCCCACACTTGGATGAAAACATACCAAATCTGCAAATGACACAGGATTTACAAGTCCTACTATTTCTATTTCAAAGTCTTTTTGATTAGTTTAGAATTAGAGGACACATTTCAAAGTTTCATATTGCTCTTTGTTCTCCTGATTTATTTTATTTAATTTTACAAGAGCTTATGACTACTCTGGCTAGGTCCATCATTGATGGGTTTATTAGCCCAGTAAATAGACTTGTACAAATGTCATGTACATTTGTCTCTTGCAAACTAAATCTGAACTAATTATAACAGAAAAATTTAAATTAATTTTTTAGACTAGCTTTGAGTTAGTATAAGTTCTAGGCCTGTCCAACATTCACAGTGTTTTTCATATAGCAGCCTTCTTACAGCAGTTGCATCTTTTCCTGGGATCACAATGTAAAACTTGTGTACAGGATGTTCACACACACACACGTTGAGGCATTCTTTCCCTTTGGTTTTAAGAGCTACACAATCCTAAAATCATTCGGTTTAACTTTCAATGTAATCCTATGTAAGCTTGGAATGAAATACTTGGTAAGCTTGGTAGTCATTCAGTGGGACTGACTATTTTTCAAACTTAATTTAGAATTGCAATCTTAAAACAACACAATATTATGTGGGAGTATTTCAAAGAAAATTGCATTCAATTTTGATACTTCCTTGTGTTAAACGTATAAAGGATTGAAGATTGAATAAATAAAAAAAGTTGGTTTCAAATAGGATTCTGAGTATCAAAATTTTCTTTTAAACTTCCTTAAAAACTAAGCCCTCAAATACATTCCAGATGAGAGGAAATCATAAGCATTTTATATTCAAAATGAGATCATGAATGCCTCTGTAATTCAAAGAAGCACAGATTTCTGTGGAAGTTTAATGCTCTCAGAGAACATCCTGTCTGGAATTTAGGAAAGGCATAGCCAATCATTGATTAGAGGCACTTGAGAAAGCTTTCAATGAGCACCCAGAGGTCTTCCAGGATTGCTTTTAGGTAGGACAAATGTATATTGCTGCCAAGTCCAACTCCATCTTGCTGAAAATGCATATTTCTGTGAAGATAGTTACATTTTCACAAGAGACACAAACAGGCTCTTTCTCACACACACACACACACACACATACACACACACACATTCATGCTGAATACTTCTCTAATCTGAAGGTTTGTTCTTTCCCAATAGCATTCCTGCCATGAAATTCCAAGGTTCAATCTTGATTTTTTTTAAAAAAAAACACAACATATCCTCCTTAAATGCATTTCTCTAGATACATGAAAAGACTCTAGTGTTCTTAACTTCAAGATGCAGCAGGGGAGAAAGAGGAGCTTTGACAGTTCAGTCTCAATTCATTCAGACAACAACACCTGGCTTCGGGAGGTGGGGGGGGGTGCTGACCTCGGATCGCTCCCTGGTGGATAGATGGCTACATTCCCTCCCCGCGTGCTGCAATTTCTATGCACGGCGCATCAGGCGCGGAGTCGCGTTTTGGAAGAGTCCGCCGGCGCCGCCGCCTCCCAAGCGCCCGTCTCCGGGCAACAGAAAATCCCAAAGAGCAGGCGGGCCTCTAGCTGCCTACTCCGCCGCTGGCGTCGCTTACCTGCTTCCCAACAGAGCTACGGCCGATGCGAGTGTCGAGCAGGTCATGAGGAGTTTCGTTGCCTTCACTGGCACTATAGAGGAGCCGAAAAGGGACGCTCTTCTGCCTTTCCCTGAAGCGATCCGCAGCCTTTCTCTCCATCTCAGTCAACAAGGTGTCTCCTGGGGGGGGGGGGGGGGGGGGGAGACGGTAGCGGTCAACCAATTCCAGCCGGAAGGGTTCATAACGACGACCCTCGGTTACGGGGCGCGGGTGGAAAATGGGGCAGTTGCTTTCCACTTCGGAGACAGAAAGCAAAGGCCAGCTCCATCTTACATACATATAGTGTGTGTCTACGTGTGTGATATTTGCCATGAGCTTCCTTCCCACACGCGCACACGGCACGCAGCTAACCCTGGTTCCTCTCTCCCGGGCCGGCGGCGCCTGGGATGCTGCACATTGCAGCGCCGAGAGTCACCTAACCCGCGGAGATGAGCTCCTGGCAAGGCGAGCTCTTCTTCCCCGGCAGGTCCAGCAAACAGCGGCAGCCGTTTCCCAGCGGCAGCCGCCGGGCGAAGGTAAGGAGGTTCTTACCTGCGCGGCCGCAGCGAGCTTTCGAGAGCATTCCGACGGTCCAGAGCATCAAGGCGAGCAGAGAAGCCGCGATGTGCATGGCTGGCTCTTGGGAGAAGTGGCGGGAGGAGGAAGGTGAGCTGCCCGCGAGAAGCGAGGATCACAAGCGAGAAGGGAAAGGAAGGGAGCTCCTACGGCCAGGCTGGTGCTGCTGCTGCTGCTGCTGCTGCTGCTGCGAGCGGGAGAGGCGCCTCCTCGCCACCGCCTCAGTGCTGCATTGTGTGCCGCCGGCTTCCGCTCGCGTCGAGAGCTTTTACTGCATTGGGTATCTTGCTGTATCTCAGAGGCTTCAAGCTCCTCCCTTCTCGCTTTCCTTCTCAGCTCCAGGCGAGGGGATCCACAGTCGGACGAGCTGTCTCCCTTTCTGCATCCCTCTGCCTCCGATCTGGAGAAAGAGACCCGATAGCTGGGCAGGGAGTGTGTCTGTATGGTGGGAGGCGAGGGCAAGAGAGGGAGAATCTGAAAAATGCATTTCGTTAAATTTGGGTTGGGGGGACGGGACGTCGAGCTAGACCAACTATTTTCCTTTCCTATGCCAAGGATGTTTTCGGTGAAGTTGAGAAATTATTTTCCAGGCTAATGTGGAGCCAGAGCAGGGCAAATACTGTAAATTGTGATAACAATCCAAAGGGTTAGTAAATCTTGACAGAGCACATCCTGCTAAGCCACAATATCATTTACTTGCTGCTGGAAGTGGGTTCCAGCCACTGTGTTACACAAATCATGATTTAGCATCCAATTTGTGGTTCATACAAACCGTAATTTGATGCAAGGTGTGAGCCCACCATATCAAATAAAAGTTCAATTATTACTGGAAATGAGTATTATACTCATGCTTACATCATAATGTAAGCTGCCCAGCGTCACTTCAACAGTGAGATAGACAGCATATAAATTTAATAAAGAAGTTACAAGCAGTAAAAATGAAATGGTAAACATTTTGAGAAAAGCTTTGTTAGTTTTCTTGGAAGTCCAAATGGAAACTGATTTTATGTACTTCATATGAAATTAAATACTCCTGAAAATAGATTAGGAAGTTACTTTTGACTGAAGCTCCTGGAAACCTCTTCTTCACATTAGTTGAGTTCACACATTACTACAGTTCAATTTGCAAGTTTATAGGTTGCTCAAGTACTTTTTTAAAAAATCACAATTGCTTAGATTGCATGAAGATGTCATATGGACCCAAAACATGTTGTATTTTATAAAATTGTTATGTAGTACCTCAATTTTCATTCATTTTTAATTTAGTCTGTATTATTTTAATGAGTTATGGGGAATATGCATTATTCACCACCCAGAGTGATGTTAAGTTGGGCTATTATATACATTTTCTAAAATAAATAAAAATTGTGCTAAAACTAAACAAATTATATAATGTCTTATTTGATGTGTAAATGTAGCCAACAGTTTAGCTTTATGTAGCACCAGGCCACTGCTGTTTGCAAAATGAACTACTTAAAAATTATAACCTGTCTTAACCTAGGAAGCCATTATAGATGACATTCATAAACTATTATATGTTTAATATAACTCTCTGGAGACTATATCTTCCAGAGTTCCTAACCAGACAATATATAAAGAAAAAATGCACAACATGCTTGTTTTAAATGACATTTTCTAGAACGGTAGTTGTGGTTTTTACAGCCTGCAACACTATTGAACTTATTCAACCTAATATATTTCAGAAAGACACAATCAGAAGAAAAGTTGAGAACATGTGTGTTGTTGTTGTTGTTGTTGTTGTTGTTGTTGTTGTTGTTTTTGTTATTATTATTATTATTATTATTATTATTTATTGAATTTGTATATCGCCCTACTCCCGAAGGACTTAGGGCGGTGAACAGCCAAAAGATAAAATACATATAATACAAAAATTAAAAAAAACCATTAAAATACAATTAAATAATTTGGCCCAGAAAACAAAATTTAAAACACCCCAAATTTATGAGACAAATTTAAAATTTTAAAAACAGTTTAAAAGAGAGGCTGGGCCAGGCCAGCCTGCTGGAGTAGGAATGTTTTGAGGGCACGGCGGAAAGCGTGCAGATCTGTGATCCGTATCTCAGGGGGGAGCTTGTTCCAGATTGCAGGTGCTCCCACAGAAAAGGCTCTCCCCCTGGGCGCCGCCAGTCGACACTGTTTGACCGAAGGCACCCTAAGAAGCCCCTCTCTATGGGAGTGTACTGGTCGGTGAGAGGCTACTGGTAGCAGAAGGCGGTCTCGTAGATACCCCGGTCTGAGGCCATGGAGGCTCTAAAGATGATAACCAAAACCTTGAAGCACACCCGGAAGACCACCGGGAGCCAGTGCAGCTCGCGCAGGAGGGGGTCACATGGGAGCACCATGTCACTCCCATAACCACCCGTGCGGCCGCATTGTGGACTAGCTGGAGCCTCCGGGTGCTCCTCAAGGGGAGCCCCATGTAGAGAGCATTGCAGTAGTCCAGACGGGAAGTGACAAGGGCATGAGTGACCGTATTTAATGAGTCCCGATCCAGAAAGGGATGCAACTGGTGAATCAGGCGAACCTGATAAAACACCCTCCCGGCCACAGCCATCAAATGCTCTTCTAAAGACAGCTGTGAGTCCAGGAGGACACCCAAGTTGCGAACCTTCTCCGTGGGGGCCAACGACTCGCCCCCAATAGTCAGTGATGAACCAACTGACTATATTGGGATGTCGGAAACCACAGCCACTCGGTCTTGGATGGGTTGAGCCTGAGTCTGTTTCTCCCCATCCAGATCCGTACAGCCTTCAGGCACCGGGACATCACTTCAAGGGCATCGTTGGGGTGGTCCGGGGTAGAGATGTACAGCTGAGTTTCATCAGCGTACTGGTAGTACTTCACCCCGAAACCACAGATGATCTCACCCAGTGGCTTCACATAAATGTTGAACAGAAGGGACGAGACGACTGACCCTTGTGGCACCCCACATACAAAGGGCCTCGGGATCGACTTTTGCCCCCCTGCCAACACAGACTGCAACCGGTCGGAGAGAAAGGAGGAGAACCACCGCAACACGGTGCCCCCCACCCCTAACTCTTCCAGCCGGTGCAGCATGATACCATGGTCGATGGTATCAAAAGCCGCTGAGAGGTCTAATAGGACCAGGACAGAGGAATAACCCGTCCCAAGCCCTCCAGAGATCATCAACCAATGTGACCAATGCTGTTTCCGTGCTGCACCCAGGCCTGAAGCCCAACTGGAACGGATCCAGATAAGCCAATTCATCCAGATACTGAGGGAGCTGTCGTGCTACCTCACTCTCAACAACCTTCGCAACAAAGCGAAAGTTGGAGACTGGGTGGTAATTAGCCAACACTGCTGGGTCCAGGGAAGACTTCTTGAGGAGAGGTCTCACCATCGCCTCTTTCAAGGCGGCAGGAAAGACACCCTCACTCAAAGAAGCATTTATAATCCCCTGGAGCCAGCCTCATGTAACCTCCCAAGAGGCCAGCACCAACCAGGAGGGACACGGGTCCAATAAATATGTTGCAGCATTCAGTCTACTCAGTATCCTGTCCACGTCTTCAGAAGTCACAGAATCAAACTCTTCCCAGATAATATTCTCAAGACCTGCCTCCATCCTACCTCCTTAATCTACCCTGTCAGAGTCCAGGTGTTCCCGAATCTGAACGAGTTTATCATACAGATACTGTACAAAATCCTCGGCTCTACCCTCCAAGGGATCCTCACGCGCTTCCTGAAGGAGCAGGGAGCGGGTCACTCTAAACAGAGCGGCCGAGCGATTATCTGATGACACAATAAAGTGGAACAATAGTTACATTTTACCACTTTTATCGCCACTAGGTAAGTCTTAATATGAGACCTTACCAGTGTTCGGTCAGATTCAGACTGGCTGGCCCTCCAACCGCTCTCCAGGCGTCTTTTTCGGTGCTTCATCTCCCTCAGCTCCTCGGTAAACCAAGGAGCCAGGCGAAATCGGCACCGAGTCAGAGGCCGCAAAGGCATGACCTGATCCAAAGCTCCAGCGGCCACCCTATTCCAGGTGGCCACCAGGTCTTCGGTTGAGCAGTGAGCCAGAGCCTCAGGAAATGGCACAAGCTCCATCTGGAACCGATCCGGGTCCATCAGGTGCCTGGAGTGGAACCATCTCATCGGTTCCGTCTCCCTGCGGCAGAGTGTAGCGGTTCAAAGGTCAAAGCAAAGGAGAGAATGATCCGACCAGGACAAGGGTTCAGTCACTATATCCCCAATATCGAGATCATTCAGCCACTGATCAGAGCTAAAAACCAAGTCCAGAGTGTTTCCCCCCATGTGAGTAGGGCCATGCACTAACTGGGTCAGGTCCATAGCCATCATGGAAGCCATGAATTCCCGCGCTGCCTCAGACACTTCACTGATAGATGGCAGGTTAAAATCCCCCATGACCATAAGCCTCGGGGTATCAACCGCCACCCTGGCTATAACGTTGAGCAGTTTGGGCAGGGCCACTGCCATGTTGGAGGGAGCCAGGTACATGATCAGCAAGCCCACCTATACCCCATGACCCCACTTCATCAGGAGGGACTCACATCTGGCAATCTTAGGAACAGTGGCCTCCCTCGGATCAAGACCTTCTTTTATAACAACCGCCACCCCCTCGCCCCTACCCTGTGACCTTGGTTGATGAAATGCACAGAAACCAGAAGGGCACATTTCAACGAGGGGAACCCCCCTCTTGGCCCAACCAGGACTCCGTAATACCTGCCAGATCCGCTTCCCCCTCCTGAACAAGATCACAAATGAGGGGTGCTTTATTTACTACGGATCTGGCGTTGCATAACATCAGCCAAAGGTCCAGGCCCTGAGAGTCTGAACTACCTGGGGGACAAGAGGAGCCTTGGCAGCCGGAGCGTGCCACCACTTGGAGACAGCGGGTGCGCACTCCCACAACCAGATTTGGCCCCTTGCTCCCGCCATATGTGCCCCTCCCACTCACAGTACTGATGCACTGGCTTTCATCGTTACAAACTCTAACCCCCTCCTTAACCCGGAGCCCCGTGCCTCCCATGCCGTGACCCCTAGCCAGGTCTGGTCCCACCCTCAGTGGGTTATCCCCCAAACCCACAGCCCTAGCTCCAATCCAACCCTCCGCCCCCAGAACCCCTTAAAAATTTAATTAAAAATTTATATAAAAAACTCCTCAAACTCCCTTTCGCTGCATGCCACCTCTCGGGGTTCCAAAACCCGTCATCAAGGTAGGCCCTCAACAGAGTGGAGGGCCAAACCCACGAGGGGGGGAATCTAGCAGTGCACGGAGCTCAGTCGCCGAATACATTCGGTCATTGGGGATGACAAATAGTCTATGGTCAGGGGGATCACTTCGGTGATTCAAAGTCCAGAGGAGAGAAAATGCCATTCTTGGGTACAAGTAAACCAAACTCCACTGCCCTCTCACAGCAGTGGGAGGAGACAAGCGCCTTTCGGCATCCAGGAATAGTTGACCGAATCACCCTATCATGATGACTGGCCGACAAGGATAGTCCAAGGTCTTGGTAAAGTCGGTAGCGAAAAGGCAGTCATAAACCGACTCCCTCAGAATTTGTATCCCAAGTTGTGGCTCTCCATGCGGTTTAAGGAAAAAGATGGAATTCACCAGACCACAGGCTCAGCAAACAAGGGTCCGTCTATGGGAATGCGCAGCGGCACCATCCAGAGAGGTCACGATGAAACAAAAAGGGAAGTACCGTTCAGCAGGCCGGGAATAGGCAGGGGTGACAATGACCATAATAAGATTTGAGCCAGGCCAGAAGAGGGGGAGGGGGGAAGGGGGCACAGGCAACAAAGTGCCAGGGGCAAAAAGCCCCCACAGTAATCTTCCACCCCCCCAACCCTCCCTGAGGTCTTCTAATGGTCTAATAATCTAATTGTTGGTCAATAATGGTCAATAATGTTCCCAACTCCGCCTCCTCCAGCTCACAACGGAAGACTCTGGGTCTATCTGGGGGGCGGCCCTCCAGGGGCCAGACACCCCTCGGTCGCCCAGGCATTCCAGGAGGAAACACACCACCAAAAAATATCTCCCGCCATCTCGCTCCAGGCCCTCCGGCTGCTGCCCCAGGCTCCGGCCTCCGTCCCGGCGGCCACCATTGCAACCACCGCCGCTGCCACCGCCATCATCGCTGCCAGCCTCCTCGTTCTCCTCGTGTTCATCCCAGCCCCCAAACAATACCCAGGGCCTCCAGGATCACGCAGAGGGTCCCAATGAGGACACCGCGATGCCAACACCAACGCCGTCATCGATGCTCGACAGCTGCCGGCGGATGCCGGGTCTGTCTCAGCTGCCGTTCAGGCCGAGCCCATCTGCGTCGCCCCCGCAGCACCGCCTTCATCCCAGCCAAATTGTCCTGGAGAGCGAAAAAACTCTCCAAATGGCTGGTAAGAGCTCCTTAACCCGGGCAAGGGGCCATAGATGTTCAGTCCAGCCCCCCCGAGGCCCCCTAAGGCCAAAACATCACCCCCCATAATCGTAAGCTCAGCGAGGAGCTGCCATCTTGGGCATGCGCAGAAAGCTTATGTTGAGAACATGTGTTGAGAGTTAGAAGTTTCTAATATTCCAGATGTTGAAATTGAACTCCATGAGTCAGAAGTTGGGATGAAGTAATTAATCTGCTCCAAGAACGCTAATTTATAATCCAGGAAGACTTTTTTTATTCAGGTCAGAAGGTAATCATAACATCTGGGACATTCAGAACTATTTCACTTTACAGGCAAGGCACCAAATCTAAAAATTTACAAAAATGTAAATATGGCTTTCAAAATTCCAAATCTTTGTCAGTGTACAACATATGTATAATGAGATTGGTTGAGTTCCCTCAGTGCACCCCCCCCCCACAACACAATACAACTCACAGTGAAGACAGAAAATCTCTAACCCAATAAATCATATTAACAAAACATCCAGTGTGAACATGTTACACTTTACGCCGGCCCTGCAAGTCCATCGTACTATGTAGTTATCTTATTTTGCATTCAGGAGTCTAACAGCCCATGGATAAAAACTGTTCTTCAGCCTGTTGTGCGCTGGCTATGCTTCTATATCTCCTTCCCGATGGTAGGAGGGTAAAGAAGTGATGACCAGGGTGAGAGTCATCCCTTTCTCAATTTAGAGAATGCTCACATATTTGTTTGCTAGTTGGCAGATAGATGATTAGATTTAGGATTCGATCTAACTATCTTGAAACCATAACTATGTGTCATCAGTGATTCAACATGCAATTAAATTTTGTTTTAAAGTACATGTTAATATTCTTTTCATAACTTGAATGGCAAGATGGGGAGATCACAGATGGTGCAAAAATTAGTCCAATAGATCGAACTAATAGATTAGTTAAATTGCTGGAAGTAGTTTAGAGAGAAAGCATGTTAATTCAGTTAGGAAAAAATCATATGCATAGGTTACAATTTATGATGGTATTTTATTATTATGATCATGATTTATCACTTGTTGTTTGTATGTATTCTGAGAGTTTATCCACCAGAGACAAATTCCTTCTGTGTCCAATCAGTTGGCCAATAAAGAATTCTATTCTATTCTATTCTTCCAAATAGAAAAAAAAATATTGTTTTGATTTACAGTAATCAGATTGCGTGTCCAGTTCTGGCACCAGAGTTTAAGAATTCGAATGAATTGGAAGAGATTAACAAATATTAGAAATAAGAAACAAATTTTTACAAAGAGATGGTGAGAACTGTGTACCTAGAAAAAAGGCAGGGAGGAAGGAAAAGGAAATAGCATTCTTCAAGTACAGTATCCAAAGAGATTTGTATTCCACCTTCATTATTTTTATAAATAGTTCAAAGTAGGAAATTGGATACTTAATATAGTATCCCACAAAAAACAACCCTGTAGCATGGTTTAGGCTGAGAATGACTCCAAATCACCCAGCTAGCTTTCACGCCTAAGGTAGGACTAAAACTCAATGTTTTCCGATTTCTAACCTGGTGCCTTAACCACTGGACCAAACTGGTTTGTTCCATATAAGGCAGCCGTAATTGTTTACTACTCCAAAGTTACGACCCAAGAAATGATGGAAAATAACAGGAAGGCAGATGCTGGTTGTTGTTGTTTTTTAAAAAGCAAATAAGGAGAGCAGGTCACTATTGAAACCAATTATCAAAAATAATCTTTCCTAACCTTTTGGTGTGTAGATTTTAATTTTCAGAATTCTCAAATAGTATTGCTATTTTCAAGAAAAAAAGTCGACACACCTGAAGGACACTCAAATTGGGGAAGGCTTCTCTTTCCTCAATGTCTTCCAGCAGAGGCAATACAGATAGTAGCTCAGAATGTTTTAAGTTGTACTACTGCATTAAGGCACAATATGTTGTTCCCTATTCTTAAGATTTGCTTTTATTCTAAAAAAACAAAAAACAAATCTGTGTTCACATAAAGAAAAAAAACATTGTGAAGTTATTGCAACTGTTCAGATAGCTTTAGATTAATTCCATGATGAATGTGGTCAAAGTAAGTTGTAAAGTACATTTTGGATCTTGTGAAACCAAGATTGATGTTTTAACAGCCTCAAATTTTCAACCACTGTTGAAAATTCTAAGCATTTAAACACTATTCTTAGAACACGTATGTAGGCAGGGAACTGTGTATGTCACTTCCTCTGTCCTTTAGCTAGGCATTTAGCCAGTTTTAGAAGCAGACTCCAAATTGCTATATCCTAATTCTCCATTACAGTAAAATCTCAATTTAACTTGACGATTTAGGGGAAGGGAGGGCTTGTTACTTAGGGATGTCTGTTAAATCCAAAAGTATGCCATTAACTGCAATTTATTCTATCTATATAATGACATCTTACACAAATGACACAAGCAATATAAATATAATTTAATATACATTTAAGAGCCTTGTTTAGATTACTTGGCATTTAATGAATTTACCTGGGATGCCTAAATGAAAATGTTGTCTATTGCATCTGAAAATCACAAAATTGGTATTGTGGTGCTATATTCCACTCTAGAATATATGTGCTAAGGCAAGGGAACAAATGCCTCCAGGAGTTATATACATATGTAAAAATAGAATCTTATGAGAATGTATTTATTGTAAGGATTCTATGAGTGTTCTGTCTGCAAAGTTAGTGAAATAATGAATAGCAGGCACAAAAGTATGAACCCAGATGGAATAATATATAGTGGTTTAAACAATCATTATTATAATCATTTATTATAAAAACACATATTCACATTTTTTTCCAATTTGCACGTTTATTCTATACCCATTGTTTTAAATAAAGCAACATTAAAATCCAGTAAATGGTGACGAGGAGACAGACGTAGAAAACAAAGACCAGAGGGCATCTGTATGCTGGTCTTCCCAACTATTTTTCATTAAACTTGAATCTTTGTTCTCTTGAATACTTGAAAACCCCCTAAAATCTGAATTTGCATCACTGGTCTGAAATAACTGTAACAGAGCTTGGGTTGATGAGCTTTGTTCATTTGTTTCTTCCAGAACAGGTGGCTTCTCTGCCTGCTGTAAGCATAATTCCATATTTTGTTTCTGATTTCCACTTTTATTCCGTCCTAGGGAATGTATGACTTTTTTGTTGAGTTTTATTGAAGGTGAGCTTTGTATATTAATGTCTGTCAACAAAATTGGATCCTTGTTTGCAAGAAGACTATGGGATGGCTTTTCTGACTCCAAAGCAACTGAAAGTTCTCTTGGAAAATGGCTTGCCATATTACAGTCAACAAATTCTTTGTCAATTGGTAAATGAGTAGCTACTTTCTTCAAACATTTTGCTGGCAGAAGAACTGCATTACTCAATTTTCGTTTTGACTTTAATGTGTTATTTCTTTCACTGTACTCAGATGCTAGGATCTGAGTATGTAGCGAGTTTAGGTTTGCTGACAATCCCAATGTATTCTGTCTTGATAGTGGCTCACAGTGTTCATAAATTTCTGGCAAGTTTTTCATATATGCTGTACTTTCTTTTGGGAGATGTAGCTGTACCGAATTTGTTGATAAAACTAATTCTTTCAAGTTTAAATTTTTAGGAATTCTGGTTTTTTCAGTATTGCCATTTAGTTTTCTTGATGTTTCTGAAGAACAGAAGGTGTGATAGGAACAAACGGAACATGAAGGTTCAGAGGTAAAATGGTTTTGTGTAGACTTAGTATATCCATCTATGTGTTCAGAATCTTCTTTCAAGATTTCCATTGCCATGCTTTTCCGAGAATACCATCTTAATGGAATATCTCTTCTCATCCGTCTTTCTTTCAATTCGTCCTTTTTTGTTCCAATGAGAGGAGCAAACTGTCCAACATTACATTTGCGCCTAAAATTAAAGAAATTAATATAAGTAAAAATTAAGAATGATTCTTCTACTGTATGAACACAAGGTAAATAGTAAGTTATTAATGATACAGATCAATTCTCAAAAGATTACTTCAGGTTTGCAATTTACCACAAACTTGGTTGCCTATGATAAATATTATCCTGAGAGTATGCACAGGAAAAATTATTTAATTAGCTGCATTCTTTTCTTTTCTCAAAAAAGGAAAGTCAAAGCTGTTAAACTGAACTGTATTCTTTTTTGTTTATTGACATTAAAAGAGCAACAAAAATAGCTTGCCAAATGTGCAATTAGAAATAACACCTCTACCTATTCCCCAGATTTCTTGAACTAAAGACAACAGTAGCAGAGAATTTTTAATAACCTTGCAAATTGCAAAGCAAAAAACAAACCGAATACATTTTAAATAATAATGAAGTGCATATTAAAATTCTCTGCTGTCTGACAGTAGCAGGAGATATAAAATTATTTTAAACTATATATTAGCAATTTCCCAAATCCAGGGATATAGGAATGGTTGACAAAAATATATTAATATGTGGCTAATGGCTAGGTTTATCATTCTTAATAAAACTAAATATATTAATAATCTCTTATAATATTAGCAGAAGTGCAATGTTTTTGACAAATATATGCAGAATACAGGAATTTGGAAAACATAGTAAAATGTGGTCACCTTCTTTTAATTGAATGTTTACTTTTTCTTTTTCCATTTTCATCTTTAACTGTTATTCAACTGATTGAATGCTGATTTATTCTTGCTGGATTTGAAAATGTAGTTTTTGCATCCTTTTACTGAGTTATTTTGGAATTCTGAATCACACTTTCAACTCATGGAAATTAACAGTGAGGATTCTAATCTGTATAGTGAAAGTGATCTGATCTGATTTACATTTACATTGGATTTTTATTACAAGGATTTTGTATTCCATTAGTTTTTTTAAAAAACCTTTGATCTTATTTCTTTTAACCTCTGATGGAAACTTCCTTTTTTTTAATTCACTTTTTATTGTGAGAAATATTATCTCAATTATTATTATTATTTCTGTCATGTACTGCTATTGTCCTTGAGAGGAATTGTTTAGGTTTTGATGTGAAAGCTCAGCTACAAGACAATTTTGTATTATGTTAAAATGCAAACTACAATTAATTAAGGATTTTGAATATTATATATCATATAATCCTTACAATGCCCATAAAAAGAGAGATAAAAGAAAGGCAAGAATCAGATCAATGTAATGTTAAAGCCCTTTGGGAAGCCTTTTAAATATGCTTTTAAACTTACAAATTCAAATTAAAAATCTAGATAAAAAGTTTGATAACTTAACAATGGTTTTTAATAAAAATGACCCTCAGACCCAGATAACGGCAGTTAAACCAATATTACAAATAGATGGATTGGAATCTAATTTGTTGCTGGCAGATTTGAAGGAGCCTAGTTTAAGAATTGCAGGTTTGTTAGAGTAGGCTGAAAGAGGCATGAATTCAAAAGACAGAATCAATGAGTGATAGATTCAATTTTAAGAAGATTGATAGAAATTGGGAACTTGACTTATATACAATTAGAAAACAATTATCAAGAGTTGCTGCATATACACTTGTAGGAAGATTCTTTGAACAACAAATGCTGCAAAGATTTCTACAACAGAGACTTATGACTTTGGGGAATGAAATGCAAATATTGGGAAAGATCCCAGTAAAAAATTTAAGGAAAAGTTTTATTATTAAGAATCAATCAAGGATATTTGATTGTGGTGGTTTATGGCAGATTGGAAACTGAGATTGTTAACAATAACAATCATGAGATCAACAAGATGAACAATAATAGATTGTTAACAGAGGGTTTTGAAGTTTAACTTTGCTGTTGGCTTTATTTGTTAGCTATAGTTTTTTATCAATAGATAGATAGATAGTAGATAGATTCCAGGTCAAATTGATTGGATAAACTCAACTGTTAAAATTCATAAATTGTGGGCCTGTTTCGCAAGGGGGGAGATTGTTATTATTGAAATATATTTATCAGTATTCAATGAGGGAGGGGCAATCTAGATATATGTGGGTTTCTTAAGCACAATTTTCATCTGTTTAGTTTTGCTTGGTCTTGTACTTTATTCTCTTTTTTTGGGGGAGTCTGTATTTTAACTTTATGAATAAACAATTACTGAAAAAAAAAGAATACACACACACATTATATATATATATAATGTGTGTGTGTGTGTGTGTGTGTGTGTGTGTGTGTGTGTGCGTGCGCGCGTGTGTAGGTATATATCTATATGTGTGTTTGTTTTCTTTTTGTAGGTCTTTATGTGTATTTCTCTTTAGCCAGGTTCTTCCTACGTAAACCAAGATTTTTCTGCAGCCCTAGTTCAGTGAAATCCCAAACCACTAGTTTCTAGGCTTTTTTTTTTCCAGCAGCCAGCAAGCTCCCTGCTCCCCATTGGGAGACTAAGGAGACTTAGTCAATGGGCAGCAGGGAGCTTGCTGGCTGCTGGGAAAAAAAAAAGCCTAGAAACTAGTGGATTGGGATTTCACTGAACTAGGGCTGCAGAAAAATCTTGGTTTACGTAGGAAGAACCTGGCTAAAGAGAAATACTATATTTGTATGTATCTATCTATAACAGGAGTGTCAAACTGGATTTCTTCGAGGGCCGGATTAGTTCTCCTCCGCAGGCCAGCTGGGGGAGGAGGGGGGAGATGACCTGGACAGCCTCCTGTAGCACTTTGCTGGCCAAAACAGGGGGTGGGAGGCATGCGCACCCGTGCCCCCTGTTTTGGCTGCCAGAGGCACCATGGGCAGATTTCCAGGCCAGCCCTGCGGGCCAGATTTAAGCACCCCATGGACCTCATCTGACCTATGGGCCTTGAGTTTGACACCCTTGATCTATAGCTATCTGTCTGTCTGTCTGTCTGTCTGTCTGTCTGTCTGTCTGTCTGCCTGCCTGCCTGCCTGCCTGCCTGCCTGCCTGCCTGCCTGCCTGCAGGCTGGCTGAAGTTAATATGAAACGTAATAGGTGATTACTGTGTCTCAAACAAATGGATATATAGTTTTTAACAAATGGTTTTTAAGCAATTTTAAAACAATACATTTGTGAATAAACAACACATTATAAGAGAATCTTTAAAGAACAACAGGGAAAAAAATATCAAGGTATGTTAAGGAATTTTAAGATCTGAAATAGGCCATAATAGAACTTAGAATTTTTTGAGATTCTCATATAGTCCCCTGCTCCACTTTCAAAGAGTCAAGATGGAAAAAGAACTAAGAGGATGAGAAACAAGAATAACTCTGACTGAAATATATAACAATTATATATAGTACTTGGGGCTCACAAAATCCACCTTCAACTCCAAATGTCCTGATATTTTTGTAGAAAAAGGACCACCATGTTAAGCTCAATGTACCATTTTTCTACAATGAAGCCATGACATGTGAAAGTGGCACATAATCTTAGCTATTTCTGCAGATAGGATCCTCTATCAATGAAGCCTCTAATTGTTTGTGTAAAGACAAATGGAAGGGGAAGAAGAGTTATTGTTTTTGAATATACAAATCTATGTAATTTCACTAGATTTCCACCCAGTCACTGCTATTTTTGATCTCTATTTTCTATTTTTGATAGAAAAAGAAACAGCCCTTAGATAAAGCAGTAAGTTTAGAAGCTTATTCTGATATTTCTGTCTATCCCCAGTGATATCTTGCATCACTAGTGAGCCAAGAGTCCACGTGGGTGCTATAGTGATGTAAAATAACCATCTGCTCTTCTTTTTTTCATATGCTTTGTTAGATTTAGAAAAAGTTGTTTTACCTTTTAACTTTTGGTGTGTTTTCTCTCAGTTCTAAAAAGTCACAAGAAAACTTGGAAATGATATCATCCACTACTTGATACTGAGAACTCTTTGCAAATGCCTGGTGTTGTTCACTTTCAACATGCTGAAAGAAAAAAAAAGTACCAGTATCATTTGTATGTAAGTTATTACTTCATGTAGTATTTTTTGAAGTTTAAAACGATTTTAAAACATACAAAAAGAACAAAGAAAAAAAGAACACACACACACACACACACACACACATTAATATATACTTCTATATTGCACAAAATTAGACTTTAGTACATAAATTTTATTGCTGAGGGTTTTTTTTGAACAAAAGTGCTAACATTATTCCTAATGTCAGGGCTCCAAGAAGCACCCCCAACGAAAGAAAGTAAAAGATGGCTTCCAGGGCTGACACCAAGTTTATAACCTAAAGTAGCATATTTCACAATAATAAACATTTGGACATGCATATACTAATGCAACCAGGATATATTACCAGTCCTTTTATTTTTCCAGGGCAAAGCTGTTTAGAAGTTTTCAAGCTATGGCTTGATCTTTCTTTTCTTTCTTTCCTTCCTTCTTTTTTCCCTCCTTCCCTCCCTCCCCTCCCTGCCCCCACTTACCCACACATGCAACCCAAAGTCAATACAATAAACAGCAGAGATACAAAAGCCATTAATAACTTTCAGCAAAACCACTGCATGGTCTCTATCAGATTCAGATCCCCAAGTCTGGTGGCAGGATTACTTCTTTAAGACCTTACGAAAAGCCAATAGGGTTTTCATTTTCATAATCCATTTTTCATGACACCTATATACATTTGAAAAATAAATAAATAATCTGTGGGAAGATGATATTCCAAAGGGCAGATGCCACAACAGAAAAACTCTCTGCACTGCCAGGTGACAGATGGGATGCACACTCAGTGTGCCTCTTTGAAATGGATAGATATAATCAGAGAAAGGCAGTCCCTCAAATATACCATGCTGCTGCATTCTGCATTGATATAGCTTCTGAATGCTCTCCAAGGGAGCCCCATGTAAAGACCATTGAAGTATTCCATTCAGGAATTGTACAAGACGCAAGTGAACATGAGCAGAGCCTCCCAGTGCAGGAACAGACAAACTGCACCCAACACAACGTTGTGAAAAGATGTTCTTGGTCAGATACCACCTGCTCTTCAAACAGGAGTCACAAGTCTCTTTCTATGGTTCTCTTTGCAGCAGTACAACCTTTCAGAACAAGAGAAGGAAAGTCTCTGGAATCATGGGGCCCTTATACAGTAATAACAATAACAAGACTCAGTTTTGTTTGAGTTGAGCTGAAGCCTCTGTCCGATGGAGATGTAAATCAGGGAATCATCAGCATACCCAATAGTACCTCACCATGTGTTCCACTACAGCAGCAGTTCTCAACCTGGGGGTCACGATCCCTTTGGGGGTCGAACAGCCATTTCACAGGGGTCGCCAAAGCCCTCTCCCCCCCGCCTTCACTCACCCTCACTCTCTGCTCTGTTGGATCGCCGGCCATTCGCTTACCCCGCCCATCCCAATCTATTGCTGCCTCCTGAGTCCCAGCTGATGGCTAGAGGAAAAAAACCTGTTTAAATTCTTGCCGCGGGGCTTCAAAGGGCCGCCCTATAGCTAGTGGTGGAATTCTGCCGGTTCTAGGGGCAACTGTTTGTTAAATTGCTGGCTTGCCCCGCCCCTCCGCACCACTATTTATTGCCAATAGTGGTGGGCGAGGGGCGGGCGAGCCAGCAATTTAACAAATGGTTCGGTGTTTTTTTGTAATTTTATTGGCCCGCGGAGCTTCAGCATAGGCTAATTAGTCCTTGATTAGATCGGCTCCTGACTCTCAGCTGATTTGCTCTCAGCTGTTTTGCTCAGGGCTCTGCTGCTTGCTGGAGCAGATTATTTTTCCCCTAGCTATGCTGAAAAACGAAACTGAAAGTAAAGCAGGCTGTTGGCTTTGCTTTTGCTGCAACGTTGGAAAATTAGGCAGGCAGATTTCTTTTCTTTTTCCTCACCAAAAAAGGTAGGTGCAAACAATGGGAAATTTAGGGCAAAAGAGGAGAGTTCAAGATTTTAAAACACAAAAGAAAAAAAGCTCTATTTAACTAGGGAATTGTAATAATTGAGATACTATTAATTGTATATTGTATTGAAAGCAGAAATGGTTGTGGTTTGGAGGAATATATGGGGGAAATTATTTGGTTTATTATTATTGGTAAATATAATTAATTGATTTGTAAGAAATTGGATTGCATGGAAATAATTGGAATATTCATGTTCATATTGATTAATATACAAAAAAGGTAGTTATATAACTAATTGATTTATATTAAAATGTTGAATTTATATTAAACAACTGTAATATTACATAATTAACCAATGTGAGGATGGATATAAAAATAGATGACAATGGGAAGGGGTATAATATAGAATAGAAGGGAAAAATTGAATTTGATTAAGATTAGAGATGAGGATGAAGGGTAATATTGGTTTCTTACAAAAATAGATGAGGAATAAATATGGCAAAAAGGAAATATAGAAATTGTAAATTTAATTGAAATGACTAAACGCTGTTTAAATTTGTGAACCGGCCAAATACTCTGTTCAAAGAAAATACATTGTATGTTTGTATGTGTGTTTCTAATTATTGTTATTTATTCATATTTGTTTTCTTTTATTCTTTAAAGTTTAACAATTCATTCTTTATCTTAATATCTTTATATTTGTTTGGGGTTGGCTTTCTTCCCTTTCATCTTTTTTATTGTACAGCAATCTTTCTCCTCAAACCTACCACCTCTCTCTTTTCTTTCCTTCTTACTTTCTCTTCCTCCCACTCTTCTTCTCCTCCCTACTTCCTCTTCCTTTCTCCTTCTCCTCCTCTCTTCCTCCCTCTCTTACCCTCACTCCTACTCTAATTTCCCTTCCCTTCCTTCATCTCTCTCTATTGCTGTATCTGTTTATGCATATGGACTACTCAGAGGGCTGAAAAAATTATTTCTGACTGGTCCTCGCACTTTTGACCAATCCTCGAACTTACGACTGTCCTCACATTTTACGTTTTTGTCCTATCTTATCACCATGGTGAAGAGAAGCAGTTGTGAAATGAGTGACACGGTTGTTAAGAATGCTACAATGGGCATAAATGATTACTAGTCATAAGTGCGAAGACCGGTCAAAAGTGCGAGGACCTGTCAGAAATCACTTTTTTCAGCCCTCTGGGTAGTCCTTTTGTGCATATGGACTACTCAGAGGGCTGAAAAAGTTATTTTTGACTGGTCCTCGCACTTTTGACCAGATCTTGAATTTACGACTATCCTCACATTTTACGTTTTTTGCCCTATGTTATCACCATGGTGAAAAGAAGCAATTGTGAAATGAGTGACATGGTTGTTAAGAATGCTGCACGGGCATAAATGTGAGGATGGTCATAAGTGTGAGGGCCAGTCAAAAGTGCAAGGACCTGTCAGAAATGACTTTTTTCTGCCCTCTGAGTAGTCCCTATACACATAGCCATGGCCACCCGGTCACGTGACCAGCTAGCCATGCCCACCCAGTCACATGACTTCCAAGCCACACCCACAAAATAAGCCACGCCCACAGAACCGTAGTAAAGAAATTTAGAACCCACCCCTGGTTGGGGGTCACCACGACGTGAAAAACTGTATTAAAGGGTCGCGGCATTAGGAAGGTTGAGAACCACTGCACTACAGGATACATCAAATATAGGCAAACAAAGAAATGCTAAATTGCCCAATGTTTTCTATCTCACACACACACTGCCTTTACTGGCTTTTTGATTTAGTCTAACATAATATAATCAGGGAATGGATAAAATATTTCGTAGATATTGATAGAATGAGTTTGATGTAGCAGTTAAGTATCAGGGTAGAAACTGGGAGGCAGTGAGTTCTAGTCCTGTCTTAGGGCATGAAGCCAGCTGGATGTCCTTGGGCTAGTCTTTCTCTCTGTCAGCTCTAAGAAGAAGACAATGGCAAACCACTTCCAAAATACCACCAAGAAAGTTAAAGGGACTTGTTTAGGCAGCTGCCCGGAGTCAACACTGATTTGAAGGGGTAGGTGTGTGCGTGCGTGGATGCACATACACCACACAGATATTGACAGCAGTCTTTCGATCCATAATATAGTAAAAAAAAATAGAAGATGTATACACACACTTATTTTATACTTCTTTAATATTGCTAAATATGTACTCAAGCACAGATACATATGCATATAAGAAGTATATGTACTTGTATAAGGAAAATATGTATGGAAATAAATGAATCTCAGTGAAAATTAACGTAATTTTGCAAACACAGATTACATTTTACTTAGAATGCTGAATGCATTTATAATTACATCAAAAATGAGGCAGAAGTAATTTCATTAAAACATAAATTACATTTATCAAGAAGTCCCCCTCAAAAAATAACCTATAGGTTTGCAAGAAAAAGAGGAAATTAGAAGGTAGAAAATCTGTATAGAATTTTTCTTGAATTTATATATTTTTTTCTAACTACTTTTCTTTTACACAGGAATCAACTTTAAAATACAAAAATATGCTATGTAATTGATTTCTCCATTGGAATCCAACACAATACAAAATTATTTTAAAACCCTATTGTTTCAAAGAAAAAGACAAAATAGCAGATTGTTATATTAGAATTTTGCAATATCCACCTTAGATAAATAAATAGATAAAATGTACATACCGCATGAAGATCATCATATTTCTTCATACAGCATTCACAATATCCTTTTCTCCTTTTATGCTTTGGAGGAACGTGATTCGGGCGTTTTTCTCTATCACTATTTGTAGGGTTTCTATTCTCAAGAGAAAAGAAACATCTTATTTATATTTTGTAAGACAAGCCAACAGGAACTAGTAAAAATTCTGGCCACTTTTAGTAGCCAGTCATGAATCCAATCCCATTGTGACACATTGTCATATTCATTTTCAATGTAATTATAAAGGATAAAAAGGAACATAAATCCTAACTGTGAGGAGAATGCAAGAGGCTTTTTAAATCCTTAATATGTTTAAAAATAATTGTACTCCTACTTAGTATGTGTCTGTCAAAGTACAATAACATTGTTAATCTAAAATCACAAAACCTCTGCCCAAAATAGTTACTCAGAAAACCATTTTAATGTTCAGTACTGAACATCAAGTAATATATAACATTGACAATATAATGATATAGAATACTTCAATGCATAGAGAAAAAAAACATTTCTGTTTTGTTCCCTTCATTATTCTAACATAAGATACACACAAGACTACTATAATTCTGTAAAAAATATGCAAGACATACAAGCCATATTAAGACTACTAATGAATGTAGACTTCAATTAAAAAACAGTATCTTAATTTCTAGTTTCAAAATAGAAAAAAAAAAGATATCAAATATGTAAAACTAGTCTCTAGCACCACCTGTCAGTAGGTATAAGTTTCTGCCTTAAGAGGAAAAGCATTTGTTGATCCCATTAGAAAATGGGACATAACTTTTTCATCTATGCATAACATTTAATAACTAAGGATTACATTATATGCTACTTTATTTCTACAGTTACAAAACTAAAACATCTAATGCAGTTTGCTACACCTAATCAAAATTATACAGATAGTCTTTGCTTACTGAACACTCATTCAGTGATTGTTGAAATTATGTGGAACTGAAAAGCTGCAATCATTGCAACATCCCCATAATCACATGATCACAATTAAGGTGGTTGGCAGCATCCTGAGGTCACATGATTGCCATTTGTGATTTTCATAGCCAGCTTCCGATAAGTAAAGTTAAAAGGGCAGGAACTCACGAGCCACAGCCCACGTTAACATTAACAACACTAGGATTTGCTTACTGACTGTAACCAATGTTTTAAGTCAGACACAGTCATGTGACTTCATTTTACAAGCACATCGCTTAGCAACAGAGATGCCACTTCCAATTGTGGCTGGTAAGTGAGGGTTACCTGTATAATTTAGGGTTAGAGTCTAATAGATAATTAGCTTGCAAATCTGGGGTGGGTGGGAATGGCTGCTTTAAAAAAATCTATTATATGGGAAAGGTTTTACAGTAAAATAAGATAACATTGAATGGCTAAACATCTAAAATAGAGTCCAGTTTAAAACAAACTATTCTGAAAGATATATTAATTTTTTTCACTCAGGTAAAATTTTATGACTACAATAAGAGAAAGCAGATATAATTTTCTAAGCAAAGTCTATCCAGATACTTATTTTAAAATAATATCAACCATATCAGTTATTTAGTGATAGAGGTTTATAGTGAGCCCCCAGGCAGGTATGAGCTATGTTTATTAAATTAAACAATTATACAGCAAGCCATAGGCTGCTCTTAAGTTCTGTAGCAAAACTCAGAACTGCTTCCATATATTTCTGTGTAACTAAATTTTGTAATTCACCATTGCATTTTCATCTTATTTATCTTATGTTACCTTTGTTTATTGTGAATTTGCTTCTGGCCATGAGCATTTTTCTTTTCTACATCAAATGGGCTGCAAGGCCTTGGAATAGAATAGTTGACAACAGGAAAGCTGGACAGTTGAAGGTAAAATGGTCTATAGCGACTATTAAAAAAAAAGAATCAGTTCACTACAAAACACATACACATAATAATAAGGAATGCCTTTTATATATATATTGTATTTCCTTGAAATACTATTTCATCCAATAAACAGTTACTTTACATCTTTGTTTTTCAAACTTGGCAACTTTAAGAGCTGTGCCATAAAGCACTATGGAAAGATATCTAAGTCCAAGTACTATTGCTATTTCAATTCTCAAAATTCTCCAGCCAGTATGCTGGTAAAGTTACTAAATTTGAAAAACATTGCTTTAGAGTAAAATACCCTTCATGGATTACTGCCTTGTCATGGCGAAGGGGCTTGCGTAGCGCAATGAAGCTATGAGCTACGCCGTAGAGTGTAGCCACCCAAGACAGACAGATCATAGCAGAGAGTTCTGACAAAACGTGATCCAATGGGAAGGAAATGGCAACCCACTCCAGTATCTTTGTCATGAAAACCCCATGGACAGTACCAAAAGGCAAAAAGATATGATGCTGGAAGATGAGCTCCTCAGGTCGGAAGATGTCCAATATGCTATTGGAGAAGAGCAGAGGGCTAGTACTAGTAACGCCAGAAAGAGTGAAGCGACTGGCTCAAAACCGAAAGGATGCTTAGTTGTGGATGTATCTGGTTGTGAAAGGAAAGTCCAATGCTGTAAAGATCTATTCTCCATAGGAACCTGGAATATAAGATCCATGAATCAAGGCAAGCTGGATGTGGTCAAAGAAGGGATGACAAGACTGAACATTGACATCTTAGGACTCAGTGAACTAAAATAGACAGGAATGGGTGAATTTAATTCAGATGACCATCAGGTATACTACTGCAGGCAAGAATCCCTCAGAAGAAATGGAGTAGCCTTCATAGTCAATAAAAGATCAGGAGAAGCAATACTGGGGTACAATCCCCAAAATAACAGAATGATCTCAGTTCAAATTCAAGGCAACCCATTCAATATCACAGTAATCCAAGTCTATGCCCCAACCACTGGTGCTGAAGAGGATGAAATTGATCAGTTCTATGAAGCCCTACAGCACCTTATAGAATTAACACCAAAAAATAATGTCCTTATTATCATGGGGGATTGGAATGCTAAATTAGGAAGCCAAAAGATAACTGGAATAACAGGCAACTTTGGCCTTGGAGTACAAAATGAAGCAGGGCACAGGCCGATAGAATTTTGCAAAAATAATATGATAATCATAGCAAACACTCTTTTCCAACAACCCAAGAGACAACTCTACACATGAACATCACCAGATGGTCAATACAGAAATCAGATTGACTATGTGCTCTGCAGCCAAAGATGGAGAAGCTCTATACAGTCAGTAAAAACAAGACCAGGAGCTGATTGTGGCTCAGATCATGAGCTTCTTGTTGCAAAATTTAGACTTAAATTGAAGAAAGTAGGGAAAAGCACTAGGCCACTCAGGTATGAACTACCGTCTAAGACGCACCTTTTTACTCCCCAAAAGGGGGTGAAAATTTTGGTGCGTCTTATACACCGAATGTAGTCCTGCCCACCCACTGGCCCCCACCCTTTGGCCTCTGCCTCCCAGCAATTACCTCCTTGCAAGCAAACAGCAAGAAAAAACAGCCCCATTCAGCTTCAGCCTAGGCTAATTAGCACAAGTTGATTAGATCGGCCTCCCGACTCTCAGCTGATTTGCTCTCAGCTCTTTTGCAAGCTCTTTGCTTGCTGCACAGAGTGCTAGAGCAGATTTTTTTCCCCCTATCTAAAACGAAACTGAAAGTAAAGCAGGCTCTGTTGCAAGGTGACAAAATGAGGCAGGGAGAGATTTCTTTTTCTTTTTGCTCACCAAAAAAGGTAGGTGCAAACAATGGGAAATTTAGGGCAAAAGAGGAGAGTTCAAGATTTTAAAACACAAAAGAAAAAAAGGTCTATTTAACTAGGAAACTGTAATAATTGAGATACTATTAATTGTATATTGTGTTGAAAGCAGAAATGGTTAAGTTATGGTTTGGAAGAATATATGGGGAAAATTATTTGGTTTATTATTATTGGTAAATAATTAATTGATTTGTAAGAAATTGGATTGCATGGAAATAATTGGAATATTCATGTTCATATTGATTAATATACAAAAAAGATAGTTATAACTAATTGATTTATATAAAAATGTTGAATTTGTATTAAACAATTGTAATATTAAATAATTAACCAATGTGAGGATGGATATAAAAATAGATGACAATGGGAAGGGGTATAATATAGAATAGAAGGGAAAAATTGAATTTGATTAAGATTAGAGATGAGAATGAAGGGTAATATTGGGTTTTTTAAAAAAAAATAGATGAGGAATAAATATGGCAAAAAGGAAATATAAAAATTGTAAATTTAATTGAAATGACTACACTGTTTAAATTTGTGAACCAGCCAAATACTCTGTTCAAAGAAAATACACTGTATGTTTGTATGTGTGCTTGTCTAAAAAATAAAGAAAACCTTTTTTAAAAAAAAAACAACCAAAAAAGGTATATCCGTCTTATACTCCGGTGCGTCTTATGCTCTGAAAAATACGGTATATCATATCCCTGATGGCTATACAATAGAGGTGACAAATAGATTTAAGGAATTAGATCTGATAGACAGAGTGCCTGAAGAACTATGGACAGAGGTTCACAACATTGTACAAAAGGTAGCAACTAAAACTAGCCCAACGAAAAAGAAACGCAAGAAAGCAAAATGGCTGTCTGAGGAACCTTTGCAAATAGCTGAGGAAAGAAGGGAAACGAAATGCAAAGGAGAAAGAGAAAGATACACCCATTTGAATGTAGAACTCCAGAGAATAGCTAGAAGAGATATTCACCTTCTTAAATGAACAGTGCAAAGAAATAGAAGAAAACAGTAGAATAGGGAAGACCAGAGATCTCTCCAAGAAAATTGGATATAAAGGGGACCTTTCATGCAAAGATGGGCATGATAAAGGACCTAACAGAAGCAGGAGAGATTAAGAAGAGGTGGCAAAATTACACAGAACTATACAAGAACAAGCTTAACGTCCCTGATAACCACAATGGGGTGGTCACTGATCTCAAGCCAGACATCCTGGAATGTGAAGTCAAAAGGGCCTTAGGAAGTCTGAGCAACAACAAAACTAGTGGAGCTGACAGTATTCAAGCTGAGCTATTCAAAATCTTAAAAGACGATGCAGTAAAATTGCTACACTCAATTTGCCAGCGAATTTGGAAAACTCAACAGTGGCCACAGGATTGGAAAAGGTCAGTTTACATTCCAATTCCAAAGAAAGGCAAAGCCAAAGAATGTTCAAACTATTGCACTATTGCACTCATTTCACATGCTAGGAAGGTTATACTTAAAATCCTACAAGCTAGGCTCCAGCAGTATGTGTATCGAGAACTACCAGAAGTACAGGCAGGATTTCGAAGAGGCAGAGGAACTAGAGATCAAATTGCCAACATATGCTGGATCATGGAGAAAGCTAGGGAGTTCCAGAAAAACATCTACTTCTGCTTCACTGACTATGCTAAAGCCTTTGATTGTGTTTTTTTTTCTAATTTGATTTATATGCCGCCCTTCTCCAGAGACTCAGGGCGGCTTACAATGTGCTAAGCAATAGGCACATTTGATAGGCACATTTATTTTTTTAGTCAGGACTGAGCAAGATATTCCCTCAACTATTGCCTTTATTTCTACCTGCATCAAACATATAATGTGGGCAATTCTGCCAACAATTTCTTATCTTAAGATTTCATTATGGATATCATATCTACCCTATTGCATATTTTCTTAACGTGTAGACCAGAAAAGACAGGTAGATAAAAGTTACAGATTCCTCAAAGTACTGATTATATATAGACTTTCTAAGATAATACAATGGTTTCTTTGAACATTTAAATCTAGATTTTTTTTATATCTAACAGAAAACAGAATAGATTGATGTTTTTTTCTAAAAAGCATTTACAACATCTATATCAGAATACTATCTTTGCAGAATACTGCTACAAAGGCAAAACTGGTTCTGGCTACAAATAACATCTAGTATAACTATGTCAATAAATTAAAATATGCCTGAGAACAAATGTAGCATTGTAGCTTATAAAGCATGTGTTCCAGTCCCCTAATTCATTAACTTTTAGGTAATTGCATCACCATATAGACCAATCTCCTTAAATGGAAAAAAAAATGAAAGAGATAAAGATGGACTCTATCTATTTCTCAATGCCAATTCAAAAATTCACAACTTTGAACAGATCTATTAAAATCAAAACAACTTAGGCTATTATTATTTTGAATTCATCTGCAACATTCCATATAAAATATGACTAACCCTGAATTAAACAAAAATTAAAGTTGAATATAATAATTTATAATTATCATTGCATAAAATAAAGTCAACAAAGCCAAAGGACATGAGAGTAGAATTTTAATTTGTCTAAAAATAACACTTACCACCTTCTGTCCTCTACTTTCAGAAAAGGATTTTTCAATTTACCTATGTAAAAGAATTTAAACCAAATTATATATTTATAAGTGTGCACACCTACCTGCCTGCCTCTCTAGATTGATCTATCTATCTATCTATCTATCTATCTATCTATCTATCTATCTATCTATCTATCTATCTATCTATCTATCTATCTATCTATCTACCTACCTACCTACCTACCTACCTACCTACCTACCTACCTACCTACCTACCTATCTACATGAACTTTATATGACAGAGTAACAGATTTGGAATGGACCTTGGAGGTCTAGTCCAAACCACTGGTCAGGCAGGAAACCCTATACCATTTCAGACAAATGGTTGTTCAATCTCTTTTTGAAAACTTCCAGTGTTGGAACTTCCACAACTTCTGGAAACAAGTTGTTCCACTGATTAATTGTTCTGTCAGGAAATTTCTTAGTTTTTTTTTTTAAATTTGATTTATATGCCGCCCTTCTCCGGAGATTCAGGGCGGCTTACAATGCCTTAAGCAATAGCCTTCATACTTTTGTATATTTATACAAAGTCAGCTTATTGCCCCCACAAACTGGGTCCTCAATTTACCTACCTTAGAAAGGATGGAAAGCTGAGTCAACCTTGAGCCTGGTGAGATTCGAACTTACAGTAATTGCAGACAGCTGGGGTTTATCACAATGCTATTAGTCTGCCGAGCCACCAGGCCCCTAGGAGAAGTTCTAGGTTACTTCTCTCCTTGATTAGTTTTTATCCATTGCTTCTTGTCCTGCCTTCAGGTGCTTTGGAGAATAGGTTGACCCCTCTTCTTTGAGACAGCCCTTTGGATATTGGAACACTGCTATCATGTCACCCCCTACTCCTTCTTTTCATTAAACTAGGCATACCTAGTTCCTGCAACCGTTCTTCATGTTGAAGCCTCCAGTCTCCTAATCACCTTTGTTGCTCTTTTCTGTACTCTAGAAAGTCTCAACATCTTTTTTCATATCATGGTGACCAAAACTGGATGCAGTGTGGTATTACCAAGGTATTATAAAGTGTATTAACACTTCACATGATCTTGATTCTATCCTTTGTTAATGCAGCACAGGATTACACTGGCTTTTTTTGGCAACTGTAGCATATTGCTGGCTCATAATTAAATGATTGTCCACTAGGATTTAGTTACTTCTATTGAGTCAGGTACCACCTCTATACCTGTGCATTTGTTTTTTCTTGCCTAAATGTAGAACCTTACTTTTTTCACCACTATACGCTGGCCTTTTCCTTTTTGCTCCTTATATACAGGTAAAACCTCTTAAAAAGTAAGACTACAGCCTATCCTGCTAAATTTCTATTCCCAAGGTCTGGAAATCATTCTGTACAGAAAGTACATCTGTATTCAGATAGGTCATTGGTGCCAAGATGTACAATAACATCATCATAGTCCTTACTATCATTCTTACTACCTTAACAATGTGTCTCTTCTCTGCTGGCAGTAACACCAGGCCGATACCTCACCTCTTTCAAAACCTCCACAGCCTTTCCTAAATTGACATCTCTTACAAATTGAATCACCATGCAGAAGATGGCTTCTCTCTTTAGATACCTTGCTTATTAAATATATAATTTGTCATAAAACTATACTTTTTCCTTTAATAAAATTGGTAGCAATATTAGTTGTGTCTTGAATACTTACTTTTTACTTTTTGATCTGCTGATCCTTTTTCCTATTTGAGAGAAATAATAATACTATAGTTATGAGATTTGTATAATTTACAAGTAATTGCCTATCATTCAGCAACTGGCTCTCTAAATAGTCTTAAGTATTTGTGAAGTGTGAGACACCAAACGCATAAAAGTAGTTTTTGGGTTACAACAGCAATTGGAACTGAAATTGCCATTGTTAAGCGATGCAGTCATAAAGCGTGATATCACATGACTGCATTGTTGGTGACTGTAATCCAGGCATTCCTGGTTGCCATCATAACCCTAAGACAACACATGGATCATTAAGCAGCAGGAATGCAAGATATGGAGCATGGAGATGCCACAAGGGAAACAGGAGAGGCTTGGTGCAAGTCATGTGCAATTTGGGGGAAATGTGAGGAAAGAGAGCAGACTGGAGCACAGAGACCAAGGGAAGAAGGGCACAGGTGTGTACAAATGCAGAGGCCAAAGGAAGGAAGGTTTATTGCAGTGGACAAGAAGGCCAGAGCAGAGCAGCTTGTGACTTCCCTGAAGGCTTCCCACTGAATTTACTTGTGGAAGGTCAGTAGAGAAAGTCACAAATTGGGATCACATGATCATGGAGTGCTGCAACTGTCATAAGTGCAATGTGGATGCCAAGCACTGTTATGTGACTGGGAAGGTGCTGGGATAGTCATAACTGTGACTCAGTGTAAGTGCCACTTGTTCAGTACCATTTTAACTTCAAGCTGACTACATGGTAAACAAGAACTATCATTCTTATTTATGATGAAAAATCTTTTTGGTTTAAGTAATCAATTTTAGGCTAGAATATTTAAAGTACACACGGACAAATTGGGAGGAGGATTGAGTGTGCAACTATATTTATTTACTCCATACTTTCTGAAAACAAGTAAATAAAATGAAACGAGTTACATTTTTCATTCTATATCACAGTTCAACTTTAAGCATAAGTTAATATAGAAATTCTGGTAGAATTGAGAATTGCGTTTGAACTGCATACAAAAATATCCCTAATTTAATTATAGAATAGAATAGAATAGAATAGAATAGAATAGAATAGAATAGAATAGAATAGAATTCAATTCTTTATTGGCCAAGTGTGATTGGACACACAAGGAATTTGTCTTGGTGCATATGCTCTCGGTGTACATAAAAGAAAAGATACATTCATCAAGAATCATAAGGTACAACACCTAATGATAGTCATAGGGAAACAGTCAATATAAATCTTAAGGATACCAGCAACAAGATTACAGTGATAAGTGGGAGGAGATGGGTGATAGGAACGATCAGAAGATTAATAGTAATGCAGACTTTGTAACTAGTTTGACAGTGCTGAGGGAATTATTTCTTTAGCAGTGATGGCATTATAAATTGTTTATTATTCACTATTTTAAATTAAACATGGATTAAACATAGTTTTTTTTCTTTCTTTTTTACTTTTCTAACAATGATTCTAGGTGGCCCAATAACAATTAAACCAGCAAAACATACAGATAAAGAAGTATAATGGTATATGGAAATTATCTTGAGGTACAAGATGAAGAAATGCTGCCTAGGGAATCAGACAAGAGATGGAGAAGCTCCCAGTGGTTTCACTGTAGAAGAAAGAAACTCAGGAAGGATTCGCCCTAATTGATCAGGCTGTTAATAGAATTAGATCAACTGTTTGTTTTTCTTGTTTGGTTTATCTCAGAGAGCTGACAATACTTAAATTAATAATAATATATATCATGTTTCTAGTTCTAAAAAATCCAGTATTAATCCATATAGAGCAAACATGTTAAATGAGGAACCCATTATATAGATTGGGATATTAATTTCTTTAACTGAAGTTGAAACAGAAAAGTTTATTTTCTCTTGATCTTATTTCAGGAGAGGGCAAGCTTTGATAAATAGAGCCCATGTAAAAGATAGCTACTACTGATAGACAATGCAAAGTGAGCAGAATTGTATCTCAGACACTAATACCAGGATTTTCTGAATTTTGAGTGTGTGTGAAATTTAATAGTTTACAATGCTAAGCATTCTTTAGCGCAGGGGTATCAAACTCAAGGCCCGGGCGCCGGATCTGGCCCGCAGGGTGCTTAGATCTGACCCACGGGGCTACCCTGGAAACAGCAAAGGACCGGTCTGCAGTGCGTCTGCCAGAGAAAATGGAGCTAGGGAGGGCTGCCTGCAGCCCTCCCAAGCTCTGCTTTCGCTGGCAGAGGGTTGCAGGAGGCCGTCACAGCTGAAACGGAGCTGGGAGCCCATTTTCGCTGGCGCTTAGGCCACCAAAGGCTCCCGACACAAATGACGTTGAGCTAGCCACACCCACCATGGCCCCCCAAGGTCAAACATAACCCTGATGCAGCCCTGAATGAAATCGTTTGACACTCTTGCTTTAGGGCAGGGGTGGTGGGCAATTGTGGCTCTTTTACAATCTGTGGACTTCAACTCCCAGAATTCCTGAGACAGCTTGGCTGTTGTAAAAGAGCCACAATTGCCCATCCCTGCTTTAGGGTGTCACTAATATTTTAAAATCTTCCCCATCTCAAAATACCAACAGAGATGAGTGGAGCTTTATCCTTTCGCACATCTATGAGGTCTCAGTCTTTCTCTTGCAAATTATGAATAAGATATTAATGTAGCAGTTTTAGTAGAAATAATTACATTTACTGCTTTTTGCTATCTTTCTTGGAAATTAAGTAGTTTACTTACCACATTGTTGACTGTGCTTGTTTTCTTAGCCAAAAAGAGATCTTTTTTCTTTTGCTCAATATAGTTCTTAATATCTTTTTTCAAAAAAAGAATAATTAAAATTATTATTTTATGTCATCTAAGTTACTTAAATGGAACAAATCTTTTAATAATGGGATAAAATCAGTTTTATTTTAAAAATACTTGCCATCAATGTGAAGTATTTTCACTCCCCAACTCAAGGCATTTGAGAGTATACTACCAGAAGGGATCAATTCCTGTAATACAAATATTGAATATTTCTATCATTACATTTCAGCATAGAAATATTTAAATACAATAAAAAAACTTGAAGTGCAGGTACTCTATATCCTCAGCCTCCTTCCACCCTATTAATAGAATAAAGTACAAAAACAAAATTGCATTCCTCCTTCATGCCAAGCAGCCTTGTGGCAATATGGAAATAAAGTTTGCCTGATTTAAGCTTGAGTAAACACAGCACTGTGCCTTACTAAAAGCAATTATATACAGGTAGACCTCAATATACAATCACAAATGGGAACAGAATCTCAGTCATTAAGCGAAATGGTTGTTAAATGAGACACCCATATGTCTGCTTTTCTCAACACTGCAATCATGGTACTCTGGGTTGCAATTAAGTGATCTCTTGGGTCACTGAGTGGATGGAATGAAAAAGCTGCCTGCCAAGTTCAACTCCCCTCCCCTGTGTGGAAGTGAACTACTCCTGCAGGCTGCAAAAACAGAGCTCAGACCTGCAGAATCTAAATTCTGTTTTTAAAAAGACACACAGGAAAGCACTTACTCAGACAGTGGAGTTCAGCTCCCCACTATGTGCACAAGAGAACTGCTCCAACAGGATTCAGGAATGGAGCTTGTAACTTAGAGATCTGAGCTCCTTCCTGCACTCTGCCAAAGGAGTTTGACTCTCTTCCATAAGTGGAAGGTAAGCACTCCAGTGGGCTGTGGGAATGACACTCGGATCTTTATGATTTGAGCTCCATTTCTCAAGCTACTGAAGGAGTTCAGCTCCCTGTTCAGCTCTTTTAATCAACTCCAAGAAGAGAGTGAGCAGAGGTAGATGCTTACAATCTTCTCTGCTGGCTTCCCCATTGCCTTTCTGGGGAAGCCAGAAGAGAAGATTACAAATAGCCATCATATGATCGCAGGCAGGGGTGAAATCTAAAATTTTTTGCTACCAGTTCTGTGAGCGGAGCTTGGTGGTAAGGTGACTGGGTGGGTGTGGCCAAGTCAATGTCACTTCTTTGCCCTTTTTTAATCTACAAAACACAACACAACAGGCTCACCCACAATGTAAAAGCAGCTGTGCTAGACCCAAAATGGCCCCTGCAACAAGCAGGAACCTCACACAGCCACAAAAAGCCCAAAAAACCAACTTTCACAAAATTCCACATAAAGCTTTGTGAGATTGTGTGTTTGTGTAGTTAGAGTGAAACACTACAGAAACACACTAAATCTCAGAAAGCTGCACAAATATTATTATATTTTAATTTATTTTTATTTTTATTAAATTTAAAACTTCCTAAACTTTAAATGGCTAGGTCTAAAAAAAGAACAACTAAAAAAAAAACCCAATTAACTATATTTTTTTTAAGCTCCCAAAGGGGAAAAAAACTTACCCAATAGAACAGGGATTTCCAACCTTGGCAACTTTAAGACTTGTGGACTTCAACTCCCAGAATTCCTCAGCTAGCTTTGCTGGGAGTTGAAGTCCACAAGTCTTAAAGTTGCCAAGGTTGGAGACCAAGGCAGGCAGGAAGGCAGGCAGGGAGATAGAGCTGCTCACCGATGAGCTTGATTGCAGGCAGAGAGATTCAGTTGCTTGCTGATGCAACGTATTGCAGGTATTACAGGAAGCGAAACAAGGCAGGCGTTGCAACCAGCAGCTAAGGTAAGCAATCTGGAGGCTTTGGGGGGGGGGGGGGGGGTTTTTCTAGTGGTTAGCAGGCAACTCAGCTTGGATCGTCAGAGCTTGGCTCGTTAGAGCCATTTAAAAGAAAATAAAGGCTCTGATGATTGCGTAGCTCGCTGGGAATGGGGGGCGGGGGCAGGGATTTTGCTACCGGTTCTCCGAACTGCCCGCCGCCATTGCTACCTGCTCGCCCGAGCCAGTCCAAACCGGGAGCATTTCACCCCTGATCGCAAGATGCTTGACAATGATCATAAATTCGGATAGGTGACCAAGCACTCAGATCAGGCAATCAGGCAACTTTGGGAGGAAGGGGGCATGGTGATAATATTATAGTGAGTCAGAAGTAATTTACAGGCTGTAAGCACTCTTTCCAAGGCCATCTTAACGTTAAATGGTCATTAAACAAATGGTCATAAATTGAAGATACCTATAGGAAAAAAGAAATGTCAAACGTTTGATTTCATAACCTAGCAGTGCCAAAAAGCTATCCTAAAGTTACATATAATTAGCAAATTATATAAGTTTCATGTGGAAATAATGATAACAGATAAGAAAGCTAATTTGAGATAAAATAATAATGTTATTCAGTGACACATACCTGATCCTTGATTGCCTTTTCCACTAAAGATTTTCCTCTACTCATGCGCATCTATATTGAAGAAGAAAAAAGAGTATGGGTGGGTTACAGCTGTTACTGCACACATAGGGTTATTTAAAATAGTTACTTAGTGAATTTTATTACTTTGGTTTTTTAAAGGTTCACAAAATTATTTAGGTTGGCACGATATTAAAATTAGTAAATTAAAATTAATAAATTAGTGACACCAAATCTGATGTACAATCATGACAGAAACAATGAGTTTTAGTCCTTCCTTAGGCACAAACCTAGCTGTGTGACCTTGAGCTAGTTATTTTTTCTTAAGTTTACAGAAATGATTTACAACAGTAAACCATTTCTGAAAACCTTGTCAAGAATATTGCAGGGACTTATCCAGGAAGTGCTCAAGAATAGGGCATGACTGAATGGGGAAAAAAAGATTAGTAAGATTAGCCAACTTTCTATGAGTAGACATAAACAGCTTATTTGTGATAATTTTTAATTTGATGTCTGCTAGCTAAACTACTATATTTCTATTACCAAAATGGAAACTTATCTAAATGACTGAATAACAGTACTTATATTTTTTTAAAAAAGAAATAAACAAAAACATACAAATTACTATCTAAATATGTAAGCAATACTACAAAATGTTTTCCAAGTAATGTTCACTGATTTGACTATTGTTGTAACTCAGCCAACAGAAATGAATTATGGATAAATTAAATGTATATGGAGTTTCTCAGTCATCCAGGTCATGGTTGTCCCAAAAGTGCTTTTTTTCAAGAGGCAACTGGACTTTCTGGTTTTTCTTTGAAGATGTTTCACTTCTCATCCAAGAAGCTTCTTCAGCCCTGACTGGGTGGTGGGGAATGGAAGGATTTATACTCCTTGCAGACAATTTGGTTATTTGCATTCTTTTAGCATGTCATTAAGATCACCTGGAGGTTTATCTGTATCACCACCTGAGTGGTGCAAATTGTTCAATTTTGACATAAATGGAAGAGAGGTTAAAGAGGGATTAAAGAGGCCATTTATGTCAAAATTGAACATACTTCTTTCAGCAGAGGGGGAAGGATACATCATCTATCTCCATCATCTACAAGTCTTTTCAACAATTCCAAGAAGGCTCCACAACAACTTGTACCACTCAGGTGACCTTGATGAGATAAAACTCCAGGTGGCTTTAACGACATGCTAAAAGAATGCAAATGATCAGCTGTCCACAAGAAGTATAAATCCTTCCATTCCCCACCATCCAGTCAGAGCTGAAAAAGCTTTTTGGATGAGAAGCTTTTTGGTCTTCAAAGAAAACCAGAAAGTATACTTGTCTCTTGAAAAGAGCACTTTTGGAACATGGACAAATTAGTTAATACTGATATAGCTAACTCTCTTTTGTATGTAGTGAAACAATTATATTTTAATACAACTATTAGAGTGAGGATAAATTTATTTGCATTTCTTATGGAAGTAATATTCAGTATATTGTTTAATTTTTACATGCAGTTGGTGGTGCCTTATTTGTCAACTACTGAGATTTTTTTAAGTTAGCTATGTCAGTGTACACGGATTATTGTCTCTTGATAAGAATTGATAATGTTTAAGAAGTTAATCTGTTATTCCTCTAAGAAACAGCTACAAATGAGTTACACCCATAGCAAAGATAGCAAAGTTATAAATTTGAGGTAATGATTGAAAACATTTAAATAGTCTATTGGACAGGCTGCTTTAGAAAAGTTTAGCAATACTGAGAAACAATACTTTGTAAAACATTACCTTGGAAGGCTCACACAGCATATGTCAAAATTGTAATCACTGAAACTATCGAGACATTTATGAATTTTTATCAAATGAAAGGAAAGTTAGTGGGCCCAACACTGAAGTTGTTCTATGGGAAAATGATCTTGCAAGTGCTATCTGGAGCAGGAATTTGATGGTGAAGATTTTTACATTATCTAAGATTTTTACAAGACATATAAATAAATTCTGCAAAAAATCTCTGGAGCTTCTTAAAAGTACTTATGCCTTTCCTCTATGAACTTGGTTAAAGACTTCTGAAAAATTTATTTTAATAATAAAGAAGAAAGTCTGAAGTGGAATATTTTTCAATATAGAATAGGAAAGAATGAAAAGATAATATCACAGAATAAAATACTACAATGTTTTAGCCTTACAGGTGCCATTAAATTAATGGCTTCCAAAATGTCTTGCCATTGTCTATGGCTGTCTAGAGTCTCAGTTCAGCGTTATCTGGTGGGCTACAAGTTTCCCAGAGTACCGTATTTTCCGGTGTATAAGACGACTGGGCGTATAAGACGACCCCCTACTTTTCCTGTTAAATATAGGGTTTGGGCTATACTCGCCATATAAGACTACCCCTCTTCCAACGCACACCAAATAAAAATTAAAAAACATCAGATTTGATTTCAATATGGTAATTTTAATTCAAATGCTTATGCCTTTCCAAGAATCTAGTACACCAGGATACAGTGGCCTTAAATCTGTTGCTGTGATCTGGGTTAGATTTGGCCCACTGAAGTGCAAACAAATGTATTTTATTTCGTGTCACTACATAACCGTTTTGGCGATGCTCATTCACCATGTCTGCTACATGTTTTTCGAGTTCTGGCCAATGTGGGGTGCCTCTTCTTAATGCACACTTACCCCTTGGCATACTCTTTAACGCTTTTACATTTGCTTTCCAGTCCCGAACCATCTTTTCTGTTACTCCATATTGTCTTGCAGCAGCACAGTTATTATGTTCCATGGCAAAGTTTAAAACTTTAAGTTTAAAACTGGCTTCATATTTCTTTCTTCTTGCTGGTGAAGCCATGATGGGGTCTTGACTGTTATATTTGTATACTATACTGTATGTACTGTTGCTGTACTGTAGAGAAAGGTAATGGGCTACGTGTAGTGGCAAGAGGGCTATTTTGTACCAGGTTTTTTTCCTTCACCCATGCAGCCTTGTCGAGATCCGCACACTTCATGAATCTGAGTTGCTGGCACTGACTGATGACATTGACAGAAAGCTGTGCCAATCTAGTCAAGGCTGCATGCTGCTGAATGCTGGAACCAGCTGGCTGCTGAGCGGAGCTTCTCCCAGGCATCTAGGGGGCTATTACCGACGCTCCGACTTCCCCAGCTGATCCCCACCGGTCTGGGGAAGTCAGAGCGTCGGTAATATCTCCCTGGATGCCTGGGGGAAGCTCCGCGCAGCAACCAGCTGGTTCCAGCATTCCAAGGAGGTCCACGGTGAAAGCGGCACCGCGGTCGACCTGGGCCAGCGCCTTGCACACCTGGCTCTGCGTCTCCATTATGAGAAGCTCCATGCGACTTCGCATGTCTCTGCCCCAGTCGCGCAGCTCTCGCAATCCGCTCACCGGAGGAGCCATGAAGTGTTCGCACCGCCTTGCCTGATCTTCCTCATCCTCCTTTCCCCATGGCTTTTCCGGTTGTAATTGGTGTTGCTGCTGCCGCCGAGGCTGCTCCTTCATCTCCGCCCGCCGCACCAGACCCAGCCCGGCCAGCATCGCCGTGGCTCCCGCAGTCCAAGCGGATCGGCACCCGGGCTCGCAGGTGAAGGGTGGGAGTGCACAGCGCACTTTCCTGGCTTGGCGCCAATCCGGACGGCGGCAGTAATGGTGAGAGCGGGCAACCTCGGGAGAGCCATTTCGGGACTCCGTTTTGCATGTGTAGCAGATCCCAGTTACCAAGAAACCCGGAGAAGAGGCACAAGGGGGGTTTATCAAAAAGAAGCTTTAAAAGAGGTCTCGATACAGAGGACGCGGCGAGCATGGACACCGTCCACACAAACAGGCACCAAAGTCTCATTGCGGCAACGTTAAGCCGCGACTTTACACGCCTCCTAGTTTTAGGCTGCTTGTTCCAATGCCTTCGCGATAAGCCGGCAGAATCAACTCTTTTTTTCTTTCTTTCCCTCTCTCTCTCTCTCTCTCTCTCTCTCTCTCTCTCTCTCTCTCTCTCGGCGGCTTTGAACCCGTGGAATTGGGGGGGGGAGGGGGAATGTTATCAGCAACACACAACAACAAAAAGTGTGTGTTTGTGGAGAGGGGAGGTAGTGGTAAAGGCGGCAGACCGGTTTTTTTTTCCCCAAGCCGATCTCTTTCGCGGCGTATCCAGCCCGACCCCATTCAGAAGAAAGGCTGCAGCCGGAAAGAAATGGGGGGGAAAGACATCTGCACCTTTTGTTACATACACACACACGAAACCCACAGTTTTCTGGTCTCTCGCGCAGATCTGTTGTGGGGTGGGGTGGGTGGGAGCCACATAATTCCGGGAGGCGAAAAGGGGCGCAGGGATATTTCCAGAAATGAGCGAAATAATGCAATCCATGCAGCGACACCCATATTCTCCCATTCAGATTCTACCTCTGGCTGAGAGAAAACTGCCTTGAAAGTTTCTCTGCCCCCCCACCCTTTAAACCCAAGACCCTGCCTCGTTTGCAGACTAGAGCACTTCTTTCCCCCGCCCGATTAGCCCAGGTTAAAATCTTAAAAGCTCGGGCGCCCCTCAAGCCACTTCTCCCGACATCGGGATGAACGAGAAAGCCGTTTTAGCTTCACCTATTCTTCCACACACACCCCTCCACCCCAGAAGGTAACTTAGCGCTGCTCCTCCTTTCCCCATGGCTTTTCTGGTTGTAATTGTTGCTGCTGCTGCCACCGAGGCTGCTCCTTCATCTCCGCCCGCCGCACCAGACCCAGCCCGGCCAGCACCGCTGTGGCTCCCGCAGTCCAAGCGGATCGGCACCCGGGCTCGCAAGCGAAGGGTGGGAGTGCACAGCGCACTTTTCTGGCTTGGCGCCGATCCGGACGGCTGCAGAAGGAACTGGGCACCGGCTGTCATGTCTTTTCTCCTGTGCGGGATTCGGCACCTGGGCTCCGGGGTTTAAGCCTCCGGGCCTGCCCGCGCTGCTCCAGGATGTTCGCTTCGGGCTCCTTGGAATCGCTGCCAGGCGGTTCTTCCCGTTGGGGCGATGGTGGGTGGCTCCCGCAGTCCAAGCGACACCGATCGCTGCCACCCACCATCGCCCCAATGGGAAGAACTGCCCGGCAGCGATTCCAAGGAGCCCGAAGCAAACATCCTGGAGCAGCGCGGGCCGGGCCCGGAGGCTTAAACCCCGGGAGCCCAGGTGCCGAATCCCGCACAGGAGAAAAGACATGACAGCCGGTGCCCAGTTCCTTCTGCAGCCGTCCGGATCGGCGCCAAGCCAGAAAAGTGCGCTGTGCACTCCCACCCTTCGCTTGCGAGCCCGGGTGCCGATCCGCTTGGACTGCGGGAGCCACAGCGGTGCTGGCCGGGCTGGGTCTGGTGCGGCGGGCGGAGATGAAGGAGCAGCCTCGGTGGCAGCAGCAGCAGCAATTACAACGGGAAAAGCCATGGGGAAAGGAGGACGAGGAAGATCTGGCAAGGCGGTGCGAGCACTTCATGGCTCCTCCGGTGAGCGGATTGCGAGAGCTGCGCGACTGGGGCGGAGACATGCGAAGTCGCATGGAGCTTCTCATAATGGAGACGCAGAGCCAGGTGTGCAAGGCGCTGGCCCAGGTCGACCGCGGCGCCGCTTTCACCGTGGACTCCTGGGAAAGAAAGGAAGGTGACCCGAATTCTGGGGTAGAGTGGGGACGCGTTCCTTTCTCGTGGGCCGTGCACTGCCTGGCACCTCTTGTAGGTTGGAACTAATTTAGAGTACAGCTTCCCCTCAATGTTGCCGGCGCTCCCAAAGTGTCATCGGTCAGCGCCAGCAACTCAGATTCGGGTACCCGGCGTATAAGACGACCCCCGACTTTTGAGATGATTTTCCTGGGTTAAAAAGTCGTCTTATACGCCGGAAAATATGGTATTTCATGAAACCATTTTCAGCTCAAGGAACTGTCTGAAGTTTGACTAGCTTTGAAACATATAGAAAATTATAAAGAACTTGCTTTACTTAACATGCAGCATTTGTGCAGGGTTGGTAGAGAGTAAAGGAAGAAGTAAGAATGAAACTTACCGTGTCCACCAGCTTAAATGTATTACCATCAGTCCTGTCTCTTCTACTGCTTGGATGAGGTGAACTGTTCCCGCCATTACATACAGATTCTGGGCTTGGGACTGGAGATACTTGTCCAAGGGCTGCAAATTTTGCTTCTTTTTTATTAGAGATCAAGTAATTAATGTCTTTGCTGAGGAATCCTTCAACTCTCTAATTGTTAAAAAAAAAGAAGAAGAAAATTATTATTTTGGAATGGGAACACTATATGTTCCCATTCCAATACTCAACATAGCTTTAAAGCATCTTCACAAATATTTGAGTAATACTGCTTACTTCACAGAATCTCTAATTCTCATTCATAGACTGTAAGCAGCCGGATTGGAAGAAGAATTGTTAGGATAACATTGCTATGCAAAAAGATTATTTCAAATCACAAATGTTTCAAAAAATCAATGTAGATCAGGGGTGTCAAACTCAAGGCCCAGAGCCCAGATTGGGGTGCTTAGATCTAGCCCGTGGGGCTGCCCTGGAAACAGCGAAGGACAAGCCAGTGGTGTCTCTGCCAGTGAAAACGGAGCTCAGGAGGACCGCAGGTGGCCCACCTGAGCTCCGTTTTCACTGGCAGAGGGTTGAAGAAGGCTACTGCAGCCAAAAACAGAGCTCAAGAGCCTGTTTTCGCTGGCAGAGCACTTGAGCTACCACAGGCCCCCCTGACACGAGTGACGTTGGCCATGTCCTACCCTGGCCACGCCCCCCTGAGGTCAAACATAACCCTGATGCGGCCCTCAATGAAATCGAGTTTGACACCCCTGATGCAGAGATCACGCAATATAGGTTGAAATAGTTAATATAAAATACCATAAACATATTTATAATATGTAGGTAATCCTGGATTTATGACCAAAAGTAGGCCTGGAATTTCCATCACTAAGCAATGCAGTTGTAAAGAACACCACCACTTTACACATTCTGTTGTTGTCATTAACCATGAATTATGAGTCATTAAGTACCTATCCCAATCCAAGCCATTCTGGGCTTGATTCCTCCCTAACCTGAAGCTTGGTAAGATAAAGGAATTCCTCCTTTTCAACTCCTCCTACCCATCTCCATCACATCTCTGACCTTCCCCGCCCCCTCCCCCAAACCTATCTTTCAGAGCAGCAAGCAGCCCCAAAACTGTGTTGCTCGGCAGCTGTCATGCCACTGCTCAGCGGCTTCTTGGTGTGCTCTTGGGCTGTAAGAAGTCTCTGAGCCACATCATCGCACATAGCTACCATCCTGGGGAACCCCAACAGCATGGCATGAAAAAAATTGCCCACCAGTATGGTGCAAAGCTACAGTATCGTAGATCATAGTACACAGCACTGCACCAGGAGGTCCTGGCAACGCAACGCAACACAGGAAGCCCCAGGAAGTCTCAGCTGTCCTCAGTTCTGGGTATAACAATTTTATAGAGAATTTTGGAGAAATGGCAATTTTTTAATTAAAAAAAAACCCTAACCATGTAGCATTAAATGTAATTGAAAGGCAGGTTGTAAAAAGAGAGAAATGCTTAGGAATTCAGTCTCAGCAAGAATATAATATACTCAAACTGAATCTGCACTATTCCTTTTTTTTCTATCTTAAAGCAAAACATATATATTGACTTACCCCTCCTAGTTCCTTAAGATCTTTTGCAATTTTATCAGAGAGGGTGTTAGATGGAATATCAAGATAGAACACTTTCCCAGTAAGTGGTTTGCATTTTGGTTTATCGGGCTTTGTAGAATCTTTCTTTACACTTTTCAGGGGAGGGTTGCTTTTTTCCCTTCTTTCTTGCATATCACCTGCAATCGAAGTAAAGCATTTGATCCTTATCAGAAACGTATCTGTTTAATCCTTAAATCCTTTGAAGCAAAAGAGGATTATTGAAAAGTGTGTATAGGTGAGCCTTGATATTTGAAGTATTAAGACTAGGAAGGAATATTAGATATGTTTGTCACCTTGAGTTATAAATAAATAATATACAAATAGCAGTAGCACTTAGACTTATATACCGCTTCACAGTGTTTTATAGCTCTCTCTAAACTAGTGGTTCTCAACCTTCCTAATGCCGCAACCCTTTAATACAGTTCCTCATGTTGTGGTGACCCCCAACCATAAAGTTATTCCTAAAACCATCGAAAATATGTGTTTTCTGATGGTCTTAGGCCAGGGGTCCCCAACCTTTTGGACCTCAGGGACCACCAACTTCATAATTTTAAATTTCACAGACCACTAATACGAATCCAGTGTGCCGCTTGCTGAAGCACCTGGACTCCCAATGATGGGATGGGGTCCTTCAGGCACTCTCCCTCCTCTCTCTCCCACTCTTTCTCTCTCTTTCTCTCTCTCTCCCTCTCTTTCTCTCCCCCACTTTCTCTTTTTCACTCCCCCCTCTTTCTCTCTCTCTCCCCCTTTCTCTCTCCCCCTCTTTATCTCTCTCTCCCCCACTCTCTCTTTCTGATTCTCTCATTCTGATTCTCTTTCATTTTGTCTTTCTCTTTCTCTCTCTGATTCTCTGATTGTCTCTCATTCTCTCTCTCACACTCTCTGATTCTCTCTGTCTCTTTCTCTCATTCTCTTTCATTCTGTCTTTCTCTTTCATTCTTTGTCTCTGACTCATTCTGATTCTCTCTCTTTCTCTCTCTCTCATTCTCTTTCATTCTTTGTCTCTTTCTCTTTCTCTCTCTCTCTCTGTCTCATTCTGATTCTCTCTCTCTCTCTCATTCTCTCTCTCTCTCATGTCATGGGCCATCCAGTGTCTTGGGGCTGAGAGGAAGTAAAGCATCTCCCTGAGAGACCGAGGGCTGGAAGAAGTGTGGGAGCGAAGCACTACTTGAACTTGCGCGGCATCAGGATTCCGCCTTGGTATATTTGCGGTGCAAGGCAGCCCTCATCTCCTGCCGCTTGGAACTCAGAGCGGTAAACGGTGACTGGTCCGGGGAACAGCTGGATTTTGCTCTCCATTGCGGATGCCAGATCGGCTCCCTGCAAGCTCTCGTCTCTCAAAGAGCGCTCCCTGAAGTGGTGCGGGAAACTTTGGTTGGGCTCCTCAAGAGACAAGAGCTTGCAGGGGGCCGATCTGGCATCCACAATGGAGAGCAAAATCCGGCTGCTCCCCAGACCAGTCACCATTTACCGCTCCGAGTCCCAAGCATCAGGAGATGAGGGTTGCCTTGTACCGCAAATATACCAAGGCGGGATCCTGATGCCGCACTTACAGCGGAGAGAAGAAGCCGGATTTTGCTCTCCATTGCAGACATCAGGTTGCCCCCCCCTGCAAGCTCTCGTCTCTTGAGGAGTCCGACCAAAGTTTCCAGCCCTGCTTCAGGGAGCGCTCCTCGAGAGACGAGAGCTTGCAGGGGGCCAATCTGGTGTCTGGATTAGAGAGCAAAATCCGGCTGCTCCCCGGATCAGATGCCATTTACCACTCTGAGTCCCAAGCGACAGGAGAGGAGGGCTGCCTTGCGCCACTGGCTGGCACAAATATACTGAGGCCGGAATGCTGTTGCCGTGCAAATGAAAATAGTGCTTCGCTCCCGCAGCTTCCAGCCATCGCAAATGCCATTTCTTCCTGCTTCTGCCGCCCTCTCCCCCACCGCCACAACAGCACCATTCATTCCAGATGGCGAGGGCTGCACTCCTTTTTCCGTATTGCACCACCTGCAAAAATACGAAAATTTCTCCACGGACCACCAAAGGACACCGGTTGATGACCACTGTCTTAGGCGACCCCTGTGAAAGGGTTGTTCGATCCCCAAAGGGGTCGCGACCCACAGGTTGAGAATCACTGCTCTAAACGGATTAAAGAGTCAGCATATTGCCCCAAACAATCTCCTTCTATCTCTATCACCTCTCCCAAATATATTTTGGAGGGTCATCTAATGGTCCATGGTAAATTTGGACAATACAAATTGGAAATAGAGTTTGGCTGAAGAGGGTCTGAATGCAGCTTCTTTTGTGTGCGGTGGCCCTCTTCAGAAGGGCCAGGACACACTGGAGCACCACAGCATTAAGAAAAGCGGAAGAGAAACAATTGCTTGACATTTTTCTCCACAATGGCTATAGTAAAAACTTTGTATTCCAACACACTAATCCTACCATACATAAAAAGGTGTCTGAAATGGCAGCCAAAATTCTCCCACCTCTAGGAATAACAATAGTGCATAAACCCACAGCCACACTCTGCCAGGGATTATCCAGAACCAAAGACAAGATACAGAAGGAGGAAAGAAACATTGTAATTTACAAAATCAGCTGTAACAATTACAACCATTCTATGTGGGACAAACATTACATCAACTGAAAACTAGAATCCATGAACACCAGCTGGCAGTCAATCGCCACAAGTCCAAATCCTTAATCCCCAGCCACACTGACAAGGAACAGCACCAACTCTCAACCAACTCTCACAACTCCACCATCAGCATTTTACCTCCCAAAGATCCTCACTTGACCTCCTCATCACAAGACCCTCACCTGACGTGAGCCTCCCACAAGACCTTCTGACCGCAAGAAACCCTTATAAGCAAAAGAACACCAACACTTGATATTCTCTAAATTCTATTGAAGTTGTTACCTAACCTGGTAATGAAATGTTCAGAAACCAACCCACAAGCTCTGAGAACGAACTTTCACCGTCAACCTACATTCGAGCTACAGATATTCACCACTATCATAAACTAGTTAAAACAGAACCTGTTCAAAAATCTAAACTTCAAATTAGAAAATGAATTTTTGTCACATTCAGAATTGCCTCCAAAGTCCTCTCTTTACTCTGAGTTTGTCTTTGTTTTATTCTCCTCCCATTGGTATCAAAGTTCCCTACTTCTTCCCTGAATCAGGCCCATTTTTTTTTTCCAGTTTCTTACCACATTCAAATTTCTAGTATTTCCTATATTTACTTCCTAAAAATAATAAATATTGCAACTGGCTTTAAGGGGAGTGCTTTGCTTTGAAGTACAGTGGTACCTTTATGTTCAACTGCTTTGAAACTCATCAAATTTGGTACTCAGCACATTTTGACACAAAAAACATTTCCTGGTACTCATCATGTTTGGTACTCAACACACCAGCTAGAACTTGTCAATGTTAATTGCCTTGTAACTCATGGCATTATTCCTTGTGGGAAAAACTTGTTTGGTATTCATCATTTTTGGTACTTATTGTGCCTCCCAGATCCAATTAACAATGAGTATTGAGATATCAATATATCTCGGGTTTTTTGGGAAGGAGATATTATTTTTATTAACATTTAATTAGAAGTATCAACAGGGCGCATAACGGAAAGAGACATGTCCATAGACATCATGTTTCAGTGGATGCAGAAAAAAAACTTTATACTCAAAATCACTAGCCAGTATAATTCATATTCTCTTCACAATCCCACTTTTCAATATCAGTTTGGCTTGTAGACCATATATCGACCATATTCCAACATATGTGGCATTATCAAGAGATCACACTTTGAAAGTGAGTACAGATAAGATTTGAGACTGAAAGATTTCAGTTTGCTGGATTTAGATTGTAATCAGGAAAATATTTAGATTGTAGCCCTAATTAGGAAAATGAAATCAAGAAAATTCTGTTTCAAGTAAATAAAAAATATTCCAAGAGAAAGAAAAACAATCCTATAAACATATAAAAAAACTTAATTTCATTACAACCAACTGGTTAATTGTCAGTTTATCATCTCCTCAGGGACTAATTACCTGGGAGACTGTTGTTATTCTAAATGTTTTAACAATAAATTCTTAATAAACTATATAGGGTGTATCAAAGGTCAAGTCTCACTGACCATTCATTATATCAGGGGTGGGCAACTGTGGCCCTTTTACAACCTGTGGACTTCAACTCCCAGAATTCCTGAGAAAGCAAAGCTGTTTTAGGAATTCTGGGAATTGAAGTCCACAGGTTGTAAAAGGGCCACAGTTGCTCACCCCTGTATTATATTAATTACATTAAAACTGAATTGATTGCCACTTTTACTAAAAAAAATGTATTTGTTTGATGCCCTTTGAAACATTCCTAGTACAGTAACATTTTCTCTGAAAAGAATAAATAAAACATATAATTGGTCTATGGGGCCTAACTTTAAGTACACCCTATATCTAAATATGAACCTCAGAAAGATTTTCAGTAGTTTTAGAATCACCCTTATGCAGAAAAGACATTTCAAAAGTACAACTGGGTTACTTTAAGTTATTGCTTATTATTTTAAATAAATAATGTCACCCAATATAAATAACAAATAAGCACATTTAAATAAATTACATTATAAGTATCCATTGCCTACTTAGCTAATACTTACCTACTTGTGTATTTCAAAGCATAGAATCTTTTTTAAAGCGAAAACATTAGCTCCTTTTGACACAGTATTCAAAATGTACTATAAATCAGCCCATACTACACAAAATAAGCGGGGTGTGTTGTGTGTGTGTGTGTTAAATTCAACAGGACATCCAAAAAACAGAAACTTTTGCTGTTTTCCCAACCCAGACATCCTCTTCAACCTATCAAGGGGAATTTTAGCGCTCTCAATTTCGCAAAGAAAAGAAAGAAAAACCGATCTGAATTAAAAAAAAGTTTTTTCTACCCTTTTCGGGGGAAAAAAAAACACAAACTCCGTCTCGAGTCACGATCGCCACCGCACCACACAGGAAGCAAAATGAAGACTTACAGGGAAACTGTCCTTTGCTGCCGCTTTTCAAACCACCCGGTTTCATTTTGCTGGGAAGTCACATTTTCTGCACCCTCATCTCCCCGCGACGGTTACGATCTACAAGAAAAGAGCGCAGAACAATTAAAATGCCCCAAAATTCTTTCTTTTTTTAAAAAACCAATTAAAGCTGAGGGGAGGATTCTGGGTGCGTTTCCTGCAGCTAACTCCTTCCTCCCATGGTTTCTGCCTTCCTCCCTCCATTCACGAGGCGGAATTTGCAATCCTTCTCCCGTACCCGTCGCCTCGCCGCTCTCTGGCCCTGTCCACTCCACCCCACCCTGAAGGGACGGTTGGTGTTTGAAATGTACATTCCCGCCGCTCGAACCGATCCCGGGCCCTCGGCTCACCCCAACCCAGAGGATCCCATGGGGCCGGGCACGGCCGCTGCTCAGGATCTACTACGCCAGTCGGCCATCACGCTTTTTTTGTCAGCCGCGCTTTCCCGCCTTTGCCCACCCGGGCCTACTAGGCACTGCCGACGCTGGCTTCGCCTCCCTGGTTGGGCTGAGCTAGGGCAGAGGCGGCGCCACGCAACAAGGAGGAGCCTTTCGCAGTGCTGACAGGGCGAAGGCATCCCTTTTTTTCTTCTTCTTGTCCTTCTTCGGGGCGCTGGGGGAGGAAGGTGGTTTTCCGTCATCCTCTTTCCTCCCCCTCACCTCTTCGGTAAATGGCCCTTGAAGAGAGGCAAGGAGCACGGAAACGTGCCGATCTTCTCGCTAAAGGAACGGTTTTCCCCTAAACGTGGTTGAGAGATACCTTGTGAGATTCTGAGAAAATGGTGCTTCTCTTCTGGCGGCCTCGGTAGATTTCCCAGATGTTAAGAGGGCATGATGCCTTTTTAATAGAGGGGAGGGGGGGAGGGGATAATCCTTAAGAAGTGCGGAGGAGGCGTTGATTGAATTGGCATTAGCTTTTGTTATGTTAAAGACCTGGGTGAATTCCATGCAAGATAAGGGACATAGCAACTGATACCACACTTGAAGAGGGACCATCTCAGAAGATACTAATAAAAGAGAATATTTGTAGGTCAGGGTTGAAACAAAATACCTCCCCACCAGCAATCAACACCCAAATGAGCATAGATTAACTCCAAGGTTAAAACCACCAATTAAGAAGTGAACAATGTCCCAAACAAGGAACTGCCAAACAAACAGCTTAATCAAAGAATCTCCCAAGACCTCTCCCACCAACACTGACAGTGTTGGTCACTAGAATTTAAACAGAGTAAATTCCACTCCTTACAAGCACTGGTGGTGTTATTACCTAATTTGTGTAGCGAATGATCTGCAAGAAAACATCTCAAGATTTTCCTTCACTTGGGAGATTTTTATTCAGCCCTCCTTTCCTCTGAAAAGAGGCCCAGCAGCCTACAGAATTACTGCAATAGAGAAGGCTGAGTGATCTAGGTGGTCACTTAAGGTCATTCAAAAGATTTCATGATAAACCAAGGACTAGCTTGACTGCTTTGAAACCAGCATGTTAGGGATTGTACACTTTGGACTCTGTGTGCTGGTTTGAGCCAATCCAATTAACAGAAATAATACATAAAGTATCTTTTGTTCTTGTGCATGGCAATTCCTATGTTTTACGGGGTCAGCAGTATCTCAAATAATCCATAGATGTTGAGAGTATCTGTGATTCAAAGAAAAAAAAAGTTTGTTTTTTTTTTTAAATTGCTTTAGGAATTATATCCTAGTCTGCATTGAAGCAAATTCTAACTGGATTCTGGAATGTTTCTCCAGTGACAGATCGGAGCCATAAGGTTTAATTATTTTTTAACAGGTCCCCCCCCCCTCCCCAAGAAAAATGGGTTGTGAAGACAAAGGAAATGGATCCTATAGAATCACAACTTTTCAGCAAATTGTCTCTTCCTGTTGTGGTGCTATTCTAACATCCGTTTTGGGTAAGATCAAATATTAGAACCATTTAAACTTCCCTAAGTCTGCTTTTATAGTATTGTCACAATGTTCAGATGAAATTCAACTGTTGTCTAGAAAGCAGAGCTTAAGTTTTTCTTCACTTAGTTAAAGTTAGCTAGTTCTGTTTTTAATCAATTAACAATCTATTTATAAACATAAAAAAGCATTTTAACATGTTGGTTGTTTGATTGTCTTAGTGACACCTCTAGATGTTGTCAAAGTTCGACTACAGGCCCAAAGCAATCCAAACCTGAAAGGTAAAACCATATCTTTATGTATTTGCAGTGTTGATGGGAGATAAAATTTGATAATTTCTTCTCAAAGGTTCACATTTATGAAATTGATATTACTCTTTAAGTCCATGTTAGAAATATTATTTGCACTTGCTGATCATTTATAAGATGAACATACATTTTATTTGATGCTGGTTATGACATTTGATACGTTTTCTTTAGAAATTGTTAAGACATCTTTTTTAATTTTATAAAATGAGATTATGATTACACAATTATATTTGCCTATGACACTCATGTAACATTAAGGATACTGTACGAACTTTATATATAGATAAGTATATAGTCCTCCAGTTTATGCTGCATTTCATCAACCCCTTTGCAACACTTAGGAGAAAAGATTTCTTGTTTACTTCTTTATCAGGAAAGTCTTTTTTGGATTCTGATGGTTTGACTGATCACATTTATCTTTATGAAAATGGAACTGGCAAAACCTGGAATAAGACATCTGCCCGTTTTACTGGCATGTTGGTAAGAAAAAATGCATTTTGAAGAAGAAATAAAAATTGAAATTTAATTAGATAGTTTCACGGTATTTTAAACTCGGGAGAAACACACTTCATTGCATTATGATAGTTTAAAATTAAATTTGCCTATTGCATTCACATTTTATAAGATGCTTGGTACAGCATTGTCCAATGATTGTGAATGAGAAGGTTAATATAATAGAAAGTAAGAAAATAAAAAATATGATTGATTAATTAATTCCTGTCACTTAATTTATTGTAAGCAGTAGGATATGTATATGTGATAGTTGAGATGTGTTCATATGATAATCTAGTCAATAACATTGAAGCCTATCATGTTGTGCAAACCCAAATCCACATAGTAGTTTAATTATTCAGCATGTTATATAACAGGCCAGTCTTGGTATGTTATAATCATACCTTAGGCAAGGAAATAGCTGGGTCCTTGCAGGCAATCACTTTGACTCAGCCTTAGGAAAAAAGGAGTGGCAATCCACTTTTAAAATGTGCAAGGAAACTGCATGGGCACACAAATGTAAATATAGTTATAAAGTGTTCTTAGTATCATAGATTACTGATGCACTTTTTGTCCCTTGAAATTCACAGTTCCATTCAAATAAAAGCTGATCTTGGTGGAAAGCGTTTAGCTCATTGTGGTTTATTGCGGGGGGTCTCCAATCCCAGTCTGTGGACCGGCACTGGTCTGTGACATGCCAGAAACCAGGTCATGCAAACAAGCAAAGTCCCATTTGCAGGATGCAGGCAGCAGGCAAAACCATGCCCCCTCTGGTCTGCAGAAAAACCCACTCCATGAAACTGGTCCCTGATGCCCAAAACATTAGGGGGGCTGGTTTATTACATCTTCTTAGTTCAATTTTGAATGATTTGATACGAATGTTTCTTGATTTAAGAAGGAACAAGGTTTGATTATTTTTATTTTAAAGATCAGTACATAGATATGAATATATATATTTATATAAATTAACATTTTTCTAGGTGTAATATATTTATAGATAAATTCTTCATACTTCAAATGAGCATTTCATCAGATCAACACTGATTGGAGGGTAGAGCCGAGGATTTTGTTCAGTATCTGTATGACAAAATCACTCAGATTCGGGAAGGCCTAGACTCCGACTGGGTAGTGTCAGGGGGGATGACTGAGGCAGGTCTTGAGAATGTTATCTGGGATGAGTTTGATCCTGTGACCCCCAATGACGTGGACAGGATTCTGGGTAGACTGAACGCGACCACATGTTTATTGGACCCGTGCCCCTCCTGGTTAGTGCTGGCTTCCTGGGAGGTGACGCGAGGCTGGCTCCAGGGGATTATAAATGCTTCATTGGGTGAGGGTGACTTCCCCGCCGCCTTGAAAGAGGCGGTGGTGAGGCCTCTCCTCAAGAAGCCTTCCCTGGACCCGGCAGTGTTGGCTAATTATCGTCTGGTCTCCACCCTTCGCTTTGTGGTGAAGGTTGTTGAGAGTGTGGTTGCGCGACAGCTCCCTCAGTATCTGGATGAATCGGCTTATCTGGATCCGTTCCAGTTGGGCTTCAGGCCTGGGTACAGCACGGAAACGACATTGGTCGCGTTGGTCGATGATCTGTGGAGGGCTCGGACAGGGGTTGCTCCTCTGTCCTGGTCCTATTAGACCTCTCAGCGGCTTTCGATACCATTGACCATGGTATCATGCTGCACTGGTTGGAAGAGTTAGGGGTGGGGGGCACTGTGTTGCGGTGGTTCTCCTCCTTTCTCTCCGACCGGTAGCAGTCTGTGTTGGCAGGGGGGCAGAGGTCGACCCTGAGGCCCCTCATATGTGTGGTGCCACAAGGCTCAGTCCTCTCGCCCCTCTTGTTCAACATTTATGTAAAGCCGCTGGGCGACATCATCCGTGGTTTTGGGATGAAGTACCACCAGTACGCTGATGACACCCAGCTGTACATCTCCACCCCAGACCACCCCAACGATGCCCTTGAAGTGATGTCCCGGTGTCTGGAGGCCATGCGGATCTGGATGGGGAGAAACAGGCTGAGGCTCAACCCATCCAAGACCAAGTGGCTGTGGTTTCCGACATCCCGATATAGTCAGTTGACGCCATCACTGACTATTGAGGGTGAATTGCTGGCCCCCACGGAGAGGGCTCACAACTTGGGCGTTCTCCTGGATTCACGGCTGTCTTTAGAAGAGCATTTGACAGCCATGACCGGGCGGGTTTTTCATCAGGTTCGCCTGATTTGCCAGTTGCGTCCCTTTCTGGATCGGGATTCCTTACACACAGTCACTCATGCCCTCGTCATTTCCCGCCTGGACTATTGCAACGCTCTCTACATGGGGCTCCCCTTGAGGAGCACCCGGAGGCTCCAACTGGCGCAGAGAGTGGCCGCGCAGGTGGTTATGGGAGCGACATGGCACTCCCGTGTAACACCTCTCCTGCGCGAGCTGCACTGGCTCCCGGTGGTCTTTCGGGTGCACTTCAAGGTTTTGGTTACCACCTTTAGAGCGCTCCATGGCTTAGGACCTGGCTACTTACGGGACTGCCTACTATCACAAATAGCCTCCCACCGGCTGCTACGCTCTCATAGAGAGGGGCTCCTCCGGGTGCCGTCGGCCAAACAGTGTCAACTGGCGGCCCCCAGGGGGAGGGCGTTCTCTGTGGGGGCACCCACTATCTGGAATGAGCTCCCCCCGGAGATACAGAGGATCCCAGATCTGCGCACTTTCCGCCACGCTCTTAAAACGTTCTTAAGACCTTCCTATTCCAGCAAGCTGGCCTGGCCTAACCTTTTTCCCCTTTTCTTTTAAATCGAAAATTTTAAATCTGTTTTTAAATTATTGGGATGTTTTAAATTTGTCTCGGGCTAAATTGTTTAATCTGGTTTTATTTCTGCTTTTAAATTTTGTATTTATGTATTTTATTTTTTGCCTGTTCACCGCCCTGAGTCCTTCGGGAGTAGGGCGATATATAAATCTAATAAAACAAACAAACAAAACAAACACTGAAAGAGATGTTCACAGAAGATCATGCAGGTCCAACTTAAATTAGCAAGCATGATGAGGGTGATCAGCCTCTCAAACAGGGACTGTTGTGGAGGGCCAAACAATAGGGTGTTGCTCAGTGGTGAAATGTAAAATTTGCTACTACTTTTCGTCGGGCCCTAAAAACACACTTATTCCATCTAGCTGGGCTGGCTTGATCCCATCCTCTCAGTTTTTAATTGAATTCGGTATTAATTGGGTTGTTTTAAACTTGGGCCAAAATTATTTAATTGTTTTTTAAATTGTTTTTAAAATTTTATATGCTATGTTTTATCTTGGCTGTACACCGCCCTGAGTCCCGCAGGAGAAGGGCGGTAGAGAAATAAAATAAAATAAATAAATAAATAAACACAGGTTCTGTGGGCGTGGCTTGGTGGGGAGGGTAATGTGACTGGGTAGGCGTGGCCAACTTTTTTTTTTTTAACTTTTAAAACCATTTTTTCTACAACCTCTTTGGCTAAAGAAGTTGTTAAAAAATGCTTTTAAAAGCCTCTGACGATCCCAGCTGAGTTGCCTGATCAGCAGAGGCTTTTTTTCTTTAAAAAAAAAAAAATTCTACAACCTCTTTGGCGAAGAGGTTGTAAAAAAAATGCTTTTAAAAGCCTCTGACAATCAAGCAACCCAGCTGGGATTGTCAGAGGCTTTTTTTTACTTTTAAAAGCATTTTTTCGGCAGAAGAGGTTGTAGAAAAAATGCTTTTAAAAATTAAAAAGCCTCTGATGATTGCACGGCTTAGGTGGGCAGGGCGTGTGTGTGTCAAGGATGTTTGCTACCGGTTCTCCGAACCACCCGCCGCCATCGCTACCGGATCGGGCGATACGGTCTGAACTGGGAGCATTTCACCCATGGTGTTGCTGCTCTGGGCCCTGTCCCCATGGGCCAGATAGGGACAACCAAAGGGCCAGACATTGCCTGTGGGCCCTAGAATGCCCAGGTCTATTTTCAAATGACAAAAAATTAAGTGTGTTTGTTTGGGTGTGGGTGTGTGAGTTTGGGAGTGCTCTGACACAGATGCCACACATCCACAGTATGCCAGTTTTTTTTAAAAAAAAATTTAAAACGATTAAATACATAGTGTTTGGTACATAGTTCAAGAAATCTACAACTCATCATATCACTATTTTTCCTTCTTTTAGGATGCTTTTGCAAAAATTGTTGAAAGAGAGGGTGTGAAAGCATTGTGGAGTGGATTGCCACCCTCACTGTAAGTTATAAGTTTTTTATTTTTTCTTCCTTTGATTAATCTCTCACATTAAAATCAAACCTGAATAAAAATAAATAGTTAAAATGAATCATGAAACTATCAATTCTGTTTAAGATTGATAGCAAAATTAGTAACAAAATAATTGAAAAGTAATTTTATTAATGTCTTTTCTATTACTGCCAACAGTTGCCTTAAGGTACAAAGTTAAGTAAACATAGGAATGTGTATTCTAATTAATCAAATTATGTATGTGTCCTGGGCTATATTAATTAGAGCAATTTTTATATGTTACTATATAAATCCTATTATATCCTATTCTCCTATCCCAGAAGGAGTAGTACTTGGCCTGCATTTTGAAAAAATCAAGATAGTGTTAGAAAAATTTTTTTTTGAATAGTTGAAAGTTAAAAGCAGCTACGTTTAAGAAGGGTTCAAATGGGTCAGTCTTAAAGTCCTTGACATGACACAGAAAAATGAAGAAAGTTATGATAGGAAAGGGAGGTAAAAATTGTAAAAAATAGTTCCCTTGCTCTTCCTAAAACCCTCCCCCAAAATATTTCTGCTTTGACCAGCATGAACCCAGCCTGATGAACCTTGGAAAACAGCATTTCTTCTGCCACAGAAGAAGATTAGATTAGGAAATCTAATCAATTCTAAAATAAGCAAAATAGTAGGTAGCTTAAAGGAAAAAAAAATATTCATTTGATTTCTGTGTCTACCAGTCTCAACAAGTGACTGCAGTGTGCATAAAAAACTAAAAAAAAATACTGTAACTATATATTTACAATCTACCTCCTGCCACAGTTGGAAACGGGACAAAAGCTGTCCAGATTACTAATGTCAAGTGATGGCCTCTTTGGGAAAGGGTGCACCATTACCTTCTTGAGAAATGGCAGAATGACTTTCCCCCTCAAGGAATTATTAGCCACTATCCAGATTCAATCACTAATCCCTCTTTGATAGTCTTAACCAGCTAGGGCAGACATTGACATAGCACAGAGACTGCTAAACTATCATATGCAAGAGCACAAGAGTGCTTCCTTAGAAATTTGACGAAATCAAATTTCCTCAAGATAATCTTGCAAGATTTAGCTTCATGGCCTCCGCCATTGTGCTCCTATCCTAAAGCTGAGTACAATTTAATAGAACCAGTTTCTCTGCAGAGAGGGGTGGCACCAGATAATTGAAGGCTCATCAGGGAGTGACCATGACAAGAAAGAAATTAGTATTTCCCTCAATTTCAGAGCATACTGCTACTAGTGTGACAGAAAAACCAAGTCGTGACTGCTATTATGCATCAGGCTCTGAATGTCCTGGGGCTATCATGATGACCATGAACTCTCAAACTATCTCAGACTCCATGCCCTGGGAAGACATCAACCTGCCAACATGGTTAGGCAGGGAAACTGCTAATCAGCAAATAGCTAGTACAATTACAAAAGCCCCAAATGATCTCTCTTAGTGCCGAACTCAATAAATAGGACCTTGCACCCAGCGGTCTGAGGAGCAGTGTTCTGAATGCCTCTGGAGTATCTCAGATGGCCACTACATCTCCTCTATCCTAGAGTCAGTGCCACTTATGGAACCTAGAAATGTTCTGACCCAGCCTTCGCAAGCAACAAGTAAAACACACCCCTTTTTAAAAAAAACGGGTAGGAACAGTCTTTATTCACGTTAGATAGACAAAATCATAAATAATTAGTCACAAATGAAAGTCTTTTCTCTTTATGAAATGGCACGAACAGTCTCTGTTCACATGAGAACTCAAGATAAAAAGTCCTTCAATGATTAAGCCAAGCAGAAAGAGTCCCTGTTCACACTGACTGAGGCAAATGCACTATCTATTGTTTCCCAGCAGGGAGACTTAGTTGGCACCTCATATACAGAGCAATTAGTCCCAACAAATCTGGTTCTGGCAAAAAAATCCAATTTGATTGATGTACACTGAAAAACAAACAGTTGTCTGTGACCACTCCCAAACCCCTACTATTTATTTCCCAGCCAGGGTTGGGTGGCTAGTGTCTGTGACTTCTTTTCCCTGAGATCCGGCTTATTGCCTTCCATTGCTGTCTTCTCCTGTCCTCTCCTCTCTACACATATGCGCATCTAGGATGGGCCCCATCTGTTCCTCCGCCTCATTCAGCTTAGGTCCCAAAGACAGCTGCTTCTCTACTTGGGGCGGGCAGAAGGCCCTGTCTGCATCTTTTTCTGCTTCTGCTTCCTCATCAGAGGCTTCCAAAGGCTTCGAAGCTGGCCCAGGTTTCCCCTCCTCCTCCTTGTCTGACTGCTGCTAGCTCTGCTAGCAGCCTGCAGGCCACAACAAGAAGGCAGAAAGAGGAATCTCCCCTCATGTCCCAGATAAATCTCAGTAATATGTGCCATGTCAACCTTTTTATTTACAATAAAAGTTCAATAAAAATTTGTAACAAATTGATTTAGCATTTAGCAGCAGCAGCTGACAAAGCAGGGCCTTGAAATTCTGCCATCCAGGAGCATTCTCCATGGGCCGGCCGGCCCGTATCTACCCTAATAGTTCTTTCTGCCCCTTATTATTGGAATGTTGCAACTTTCCCTCATTCCTTCGGAGCTTTCCCCCTTCTTCTCTCCATAAAAGTCCATGTTTAGGCCCATATCCTCCACCTCATACACACAATCTACAATTAACCAATACAGATACTTGAGGTGTTTCTGAAGAGTACAGCATCCAGTCCCTTCAGTTAATTAGGTACCACTTAATATCATCTTCTTTCTACCAACCATAATATACCATCATTCAGTCTCCTCTCACCAGATCACTTTTTATCTCCACCACATGCTTGGACCCCCTTCACCCCCGCCCTCCAGCCACAGCCAATTGACAGCGAGCCTTTAGACTCAGCTGAGCCCCTGTTGACATTTCTCCAATGCCAATAGATCCCCAGTCCTCCACCTATGCCTCCCCCCTCATGAGTATTTCAGAGAGGGATCATTATACTCCAGTGATTTGCCCTAAGGGACAAGCAGCCACGCCTCCCAGCAGGTGGCTGGAGAATGGAAGTGAAGGGGTTGGCAGTATGTGGCAGATGCAAAAAGTCCTAGACCCCACCAGATTGGTTAGGGCTAGATTTCACAATCCCAAATGATTCAATTCCCCCACCCCCATCCCAGCTTTTAACTATGAGAAAGGTGAGCAAAAACACAACCACAACCTAAACTTTTCAACTTGATGACTAGTCCTATACCAATAAATTCTTTCATTCAAGTCCTCCTGAGTCCTAGTAACTATTGAATAAAGCATTTCACACGGATCATTATTCTCTACCATTAGTTCTCAGTCAGGAGAAATGCAAAATGCCTATTTGATAATGTGGAGGAAGGAACTGCAGCCACAGAGCCCAGCCAGTCCAACCCTGCTTTTGCTACAGTAAAATTCCCCACCTCCAAACTGCCATGATAAAAAATGGGTGGCTTTCACACACATTTAGGCATCATTGTGCTCCTTGCCCTGCAGGACAGTCCCTTCTGCTGCCTGATAGCAGCAGCAGCCTTCGGTGGCAGACCCTTTGCAAGTTATGTGGGATATGCTTTCTGGTTACTTTCAAAAGCACCTTCATTACTTTTTCATTATGTATATGTTAATATCTTTCGTTAATGAACATGATTCTCCTATAATGGGTAATAAAACATACAGCCATTCCTGTGCTTTGCTTATTTCCTCTCCAGAATTGGTAATAATTGTACCATTGTTTGTTCTCCATACTTTTGGGGCACAAATTGAAAAAGAAACCAAAACTGTTGGCCTTTAGAATTCTTTGCTTTAAAGTGTTTACTTGAATAACTTAATAGAGGGAAACATGCTCTCTAACATGTTTATATAAGTTGTTAAAGAGAAAACAGTGTGTCTAAATATTTTACTCAGCACAGGAAGTATCCCTGAAGGGCCCATGATCTATATGTGAATGTTAGCATCTTGACATGCAGTATAACATGTGTCTTGTTCTATGAACTATGGCCAAAGACCAACTCTAAAATGCTTATATTTTAGCTAGAAGTTTGACAATTATTTGAGTAAAACTGAAATCATTAAGAAGCTGATTAAATGCTTATATTTCAATTTTAGAGCAGTTTCAGTTCCAACTACAGTAATTTATTTTACCTGCTATGATCAACTACGTGATGCCCTCGTTTATAAATTAGGAGATAATGTCTACATTCCACTTATTGCAGGTGCCATAGCCAGATGTGAGTTTACTAATCTGTAGTTTACTGTTAATTGTTTACTGTAACAAATCTTATATTAAAAATTAACCAGTATGATGACATAGCAAATATTCATTGTGAAATAAATGAGTGTAATTAATTATTTCTCTGTTTTATGGTCAAGAAGTGTACATTCCTTATCTAAGGATATTACCTAATACATGTGTAATATTTTATGGTGTCTTAACTATGACTCAGAGTTAGGAGATACTTTTAGCACGAATAGTTCTTCTTTCCATTCTGAATTCCCCCTTCTTTACCTTATCTAAGCTAACACTGATTAAACTTAAATCTTAATGGTGAGCATGGTAAATATGTTGATGTAAGATCTGAATATAGCATACAGTATATGCAAAATTTGTCTTATTTCATGACCTAAAGCAACAGCCCCCAAGCTTTTGGGCACAAGGGACCAGTTCCATGGAGGATGGTTTTACCACAGAACAGGGGCGTGATTTCGTGCACTGCATGAATCCTGCGTGTGGATAGATGGGGCTTTGATCGCTTGTACGGCCTGTTTCCTCACAAGCTGTGGATCAGGGCCAGTCTGCGGCATCGTTGGGGACTCCCCGCCTAGAGTATTATTAACTAGCAGGACAACAGAATATGAGTAGCAGTTTTTTAAAGACCAGTTTCCATTGTACAGTCAAATTATACAGTTGTCATTGTAATATACAAGTTTTGAATTATATTTATTTGTTCAGGCATTTTCTTGTTTAAAGCACATTTCATATATAATTGGGAAGAAAGTCTCTGAAAGATGCATTCCAGTTTCCCACAATAGCTGTCATAAACCTTATTTGAAGGAGGGATTTTAATTTATTTGTAGTCCTAGGGTTACAATCCTAATTTGGACTAGAATTTCTATCACTAAAATAGTCGTTCCATCACTAAAATAGTCGTTAAGGAAAAGATCACATAACCATACTGTTTAGTGTTAGTTGAAATTTTGTTTGTAAGGCTGGGAACCTCCTGCAAAAGCTGTCTTGCACAACTGTCCCTCCTTCAACTCCCCTCCCCCATTTCTGCTCCTTTGGCCCCCTTACATTCCACTGCTTTACACTTCCCTCAAGGATCCAGGCACGTAGGCTCTGTTGGCCCTGAGCTTGTCTCCACTTCTCACTGAAGGCTGATTCTCCAGGACTCCATCCAATAGAGGAAGTTGAGGGATAAGGACTTCCTGGAGGTGAAATTCATATTCTGCAACTTGCGTTTTGGAAAGTAGCACTTCCAAAGTGAGGACAAGGGCTTCCTAGAAGTGCAGTGTGTGTTCTACAGCTCATTTGAAGCATTCCTGAAGAACTGGCCCATGGGCTTCAGTGAAGGTTGGAGACAAGCCCAGTGTCAATAGAATCTTATATGTCTGGATGCTGTGATATATGGTGGAATGTAAGGTGTCCAAAAGTGATATTTTTATGAAAATGTGATATTTTCATAATGACTAAAGTTTTCCTTAACAATTAATTAGGGATAATAGTTGGTTGTGCTGTCTAGAGCAAGTTTAATACCAACTCCAGTAGGTTATGTACAATTATACCTGACTTGTGTGTGGTATAAAATGGCTCTCAGGGTATATGTGATCCATGTTGGAGTCTATAAGCAAATGCATGAATGAACAGATTTGTTAAGGATCCCTGTGGAAGGAAGAATCTTTATTTTCATCTTCTCCCTAAAATTCTGCTATGGTAGCTCTACAAAGGAGATGCAGTGATCTGAAGCCTAGTAATCAAAGAGGGGTAAAGAAGCCTCATAGCCATGCACTGACTTTGGGGCTATAAACCTGATGAGTAAGGTACCAGGTGCAGCCCATTATGCAAAGTGAAATGAGGACAAATTGCAAGAGGAATAAAGAATAATCTATAAAATTAAAAATAAAGGGACTTAGAAAACACAAAACACTGTACGACACTGTTCCTTTGACTATGACCTCTTACTAATCGAAATCTGAAATATAGTAGTTAGCTAGTTAGGCTCAATTCATGAAGTTTTCGAGCTAAGGAGCCAGCCCTTTAATTTTATCTGCTGATAGAATTAATTTATTAAAGTATTCCTTGGGTTACAAGGGCAATTGGAACAGGATTGCCATTCCAAAGTGATGCAGATGTTATCATATTTCTTAGTGGCAATATTTCGGCAGTTCCAGTTGCCAAGGTAAATCTAAGACATGTGGCTTGTTAATTAGGAAATGGCAGATGTTCCAGGTAAGGGGCATGAAAATACTGCAGCAGGATGGGGAGCCCTGGGAGGAACAGTACAGACTGCATGTAAGTTGGGGGAAGACTTGGGAGGGTCAGCACAGGTCATGCATGTGTTGGGGAAGTCTGGGGGAGGACTGCTGCAGTATGTGTTCAAGAAGGCTGGAGCTAGATGGCACATGGGGCACATATGTAGGAAAGTCAGAAATTGGATCACATGGCAGGATTTGCATGCAGGAAGACCAGAATCTTACCAGAATGACTTACAATCTTTCTTGACAACTTTCCTATTGACTTTGCTTGTGGGAAGCCAGCAAATGACAATCGCATGACTGCAGGATACTACAACCATTGTGAATGTGAACAAGTTTCAAAGTACCTGCATCATGATTAGGTGACCATGGGGATGCTGCAATGTCTGGAACTTTGAGGACCTGTCATACTCGTTTAGCATAGTCACAATTTTGAATCATCACTGAATGAGTGGTCAGTAAGAAAGAAGGGCTACCTGTAGTTTGTAAGTTTTGTGCTTTGCTTCTGAGTATCAGAAAAGAAAAGGTGAACCATTCTTAATGCCTGAAACTAATGTTAAAGGGTCAGGTTTGGGACCATGCATCTTTTAGAGGTTTTTCAGATTGTTACTTCCTTTCTGATATTAGCAATTGGGATGCAGAACATCTTGAGAATTTGGCTTGTAAAATTAGTGTGTTTCAATCTATCCATAGTATTAAATTGTTTGTCAAATAGTATTTGTAAAAAAAATTGTGGTTATTAAAAACAAAACTGAAAACTTATTAATTCCACATATGAGAAACACAGAGGACCATGAAATTTTACATTTAGAGCATTTCATTCTCATCACAATAAATCTGGGTTAATGAAGCACTCACTGAATTTAGAATCAATCTGAACAATAAAAAATGTTGGCATCTTGAATTCTTTACATGAAAGTTGATTTAATAATTTATTAAATGTATATGATAACTGACTCCTAACAATTCTGGGATGAATTATACTGTTGGATCAATAGCTATGTTTATTATGTAGTGAAATGCTTAATGCATAAAAATAATAGATATGGGCATATATACTGAAACAAATGTCTTGCAGAAAAAAGTTTGTAAATTTTGAGCACTGTGTTTCTTTCTGTCTCAAATTTAGTATTTTCTGCTACTATAATAAGTCCAATTGAAATGATTAGAACAAGAATACAGTCTGGACGATTGACTTACACACAACTGCTTGCTCGCATCAGTACAGGTGTGACCCAAAATGGTTGGCTTTCACTGTGGAAAGGATGGGGTCCCACTATCCTTAGAGATGTGCCATTCTCAGGTATGACTTCTTTCAGAAATACATATTTTTATATGTGCTGGTTACTACAAGCTCTCTTCTACTGAGGATTTTAGGGTTCACGAGATGTAAGTTTTAAAAATACAGTTGTGTTTTACAAGTGTAAAATATATGCATATCATAGGTACATGATACATCTTTCAAATTTACTTTCCTCAGCTAATAGAATACAAATCTATTTTTATAATGTTTTAGATGGTGATTTTGGCTTTATACCAGCATTTTTTTTCTTCAGATATTAACTAAATCATCTTGCCCTTTAGTTTTTGACAGAATTCAGTGCTGGAACCATAGCTATCCCTAGCTATTATTAAAACAGAAGAGTTAAGCTTTTCAATAGTTGACAAAGGAAGAGTTTTGGACATTGATAGATGCTAATATTTCTATTATTATTTGCAATTATCTAGAATTAAAATAATGCTCAGGTGAAAAAACTCTTTTATGCTACTGTTTGTAATTGGATTCACACATCATCTTAAGTGTGGTTTTCTAAATATGCTTTATACATAAATCACAGTTGGTTACATTCACACATCATATTCAGCCAAAATTAAAATTAAATAAACTGTTTTATGCGTTAGCACAGTATCTGAACAGTATCAATGTTCATGCTTTATAGAAACTTCATCCCCAAACAGGTAAGTCATAAATAGCAATAGCAATAGTAATAGCACTTAGACTGATATCTCGCTTTGCAGTGCTTTATAGCCCTCTCTAAGCAGTTTACAGAATCAGCATATTGCCTCCAGCAATCTGGATACTCATTTTACTGACCTTGGAAGGATGTGTCATGGCCCCATCAGAGCCCAGTTCAAAAGAGGAGGAGTTGGAACCAAGGTCTTTTGATGGGGATGACACATCTCCCTTGGAATTTTTGGAAAGTCCAGGGGGTGAGGATGATGTTGTCCCAGACCCCTCAGGCATTGGGGGAAGTGGTCAACTGGATGGAGAGTTGCCTGCCCTTACAGACACGGGAGAATCAGCTTCTGACAGGCAGTGATGCTGATAGGCAGCAATCCCCTCTGATGAGGAACAGCTGTTCCCCCACTGGATCCAAGGGCACAGAGAGCAGAGCATAGGCAAACTCAGAGAAGCGCTATTTCCAGGGGTGGGTTCTAAATTTTTTTACTACCGGTTCTGTGGGCGGGGCTTATTTTGTGGGTGTGGCATGGAGGTCATGTGACTAGGTGGGCGTGGCTAGCTGGTCAGTCATTTCTGGAAGGTCCTCGCACTTACGACCAGTCCTCGCACTTACGACCCGACTCATTTGTTTGCTTTTAACACTGATCAGCTGTAGGACGGCCCTTTGAAGCCCCGCGGCAAGAGTTTAAACAGTTTTTTTCCCTCTAGTCATCAGCTGGGACTCAGGAGGCAGCAATAGATTGGGGGTGGGACGAAATAAAAGGTAAGAATAATGTGGGGGTGGGGGAGTGGGAGGGCGGGGGGGGAGAACTGGTTTGGTGACGTTATATCGTCACCGCTACCGGCTTGGCCGAACCGGACCGAACCGGGAGGAACCCATCGCTGGCTATTTCTCCTCACAAGGAACACCTGAATGGATTGACTTAAAGAGAAGTTGTGGGGAGTTAGTCTTTGCCAGGAACAATTGTTTGTTTTGGCTTACATTCCCCTGATTTTGACTCGTGCCTTTTGCCTGGCTAGCCTTGAGGTCTGTCTTTTGCTTTGTACCTTGTCTTTGCTTTGAGGACTGCCTTTTGTCTTGACTTTGCCTCATGGACTCACTTAATTGGGTGGACTGGACTTGGGATCCTGGCCCTTGCTCTGTGACCATGCTCCTACTCTGTGGACTTTCTTTGTTCTATATAGGCTATTGTTTGGGGGACTGAGAGTGGCTGCCTTCAGGGTAATATGGGGTGGAGCCTTACCGGTCGTTAGAGGGCCATTTGTTGGAATATTTACTTAGAGCAATAAAGGACTCCCTAGAGCAGGGGTGAAATGCGCCCTATTCGGACCGGATCGGCTGATCTGGTAATGATGGCGGGTGGTAGTTCGGAGAACCGGTAGCCAAAATCCCTGGCCACCCTGCTCTTGCCCACCCAATCGCCCAGTTGCCTGCTTGCTGCTTCCTTTAAAAAATTCTTTTAAAAGGTAAAAAAAAGAGGTTCTGACGATCCCAGCTGTGGTGCGTGATCTTTTTTTTACTTTTAAAAGCATTTTTTTTTTACAAATTATTCGGCTGAATAGGTAAAAAAGGCTCTGATGATCCTAGCTGAGTCACACGATCATCAGAGTCTTTTTTTACTTTTAAAAGCATTTTTTTACAACCTATTCAGCCGAATAGGTTTTTAAAAAAATGCTTTTAAAAGTAAAAAAAAAGATTGCGTGCCACAGCTGATCACTCCCCCCACGTTGTTCTACTTATCCCATGCCTCCTTTTGGTGTGCACTGGGCACACACAGGCGCCCCTCGCATTTGGTGCATGGTGCACACTGTGCATGCGCACACATAACGCGCATGCGCAGCCAGCAAACCAGTAGTAAGCCTGTTCAGATTTACTACTTCCCTAGAGGCCTGCCTTTCCTTGACAATCTGGATCATAACAGAATGGAAGGCTAAGTCAGCCTTGAGTTGGTCAGGATCAAACTCTTGGCAGTGGAATACAGAGTTAGCCTGCAATACTGCATTACTATGCCACCACGGCACATGATCAAATAGGCAACTGATGACAGCTTTTTTATTAGATGAAAGATGATATAAGATCGATAAATAGATAAGGTATGTCAAGATACAACATATTTTTCTTTGTCAATATATAATGATTTGATCTATTTGTTCAGATCTAATCTTATATGGTATGGGTATAACCATTTGCTCAATAACAAATACTTTCAGTATCTTCAGTTCATTTGAAGGTATGATGGCATTGAATGAATAGTACTTCTGTCTGGTTATTGAAGTTATGGATATTGCAGCATCCCTGCAGCCACACGGTCAAAATTCAAATACTTGACAGCCTGCCCACATTTACATTGCAAGGTGCACTTCAACTGCCCATTACCACCTACTGTATCTCTCCCACCACCACCACCTTTGCCACTATATATACTCCTGCTGCCCCCAGCTGACCTTCATCATCTTTTTCCTCTGGTTGCTACTGAGGATGCCAGGCCCTTTGTGAGTGCAGCCAGGCTAGGGATGACTGCTGCCAGGGCAAGCGTCATACAAGCATTTAAAAGTTTCTCTTGCACTTCAAATTTCTAAAAGAACTTAGCACATAAGAAATCAATCAATTGCAATTTCAAGCTTTTTAATGTTTCACTATTTGATCCCATAGCACTCTACTGGTACAATTATGAATATTTCAAGATGAACTTATGCAAAAAATCAAGTTCACATGAGCCAACATTTTTTATCATCTTCTCATCAGGAGCAGCAGCCGGTTCTGTAAGCCACATTTCTGTTGCTAATAGTTCATATAAGAAAACATAAGCATATTAAGCACTCATAAATTTGTGAAATATTTGGTCATTTTAGTCTTATTTGAAATTAATGATGTTGATTGAACAAAATAATAAATTAAAAAAATATAATTAGATGAAGTTCTTTGAAATAGTGATCAGTAAGAAGGAACTCATCTGCTTTGGGCATACAACTAGATGATAAGCCAGATGCTCAATCAAGGGAAGTAAAAGTTGGAGATTTATACTTTTGAGCTTTGGTGCTGGAGAAAACTCTTGAAAATATCATGGATAGCCAAGAAAACATAAAATAGATCACTCCATAAAATATAGATTAAACTTCACTTAAGGTGCAAGCCACCAGGCACAAAATATACTTTGGACAAATGCTAAGACCTAGCTCTCTTAATACTGGAAAAGGTGAAAGAAAAAAGAAGATGACAAACCTCAACAAGATGGACAGGCTCTTATTACAAACACAATGGATATAGTATTGGAAGTCTAAAGGACCAGGTTGGGAACTGTTCATGTTGGAGGAAGTCTATCCGATCACCAAGAGTTGATTTGATAGCATATAATTATAACCAGAATATTATATGCATGGATAGGATAAGAGAATCAATGTAATGTCATTGAAAAGTTTAATTTTTAGGATTTTTTTTCTTAGGAAGTCAGTTATCATGTCATTTTGTAGTCTTTTCTTTCCTAGGCTAAATATTCTTAGTGCTTCCAGTCATTTTGGAAAAATTTTCTTCAAGATTTTTTACCATCCTAATTGTCTTTCAGATTGTAAATGTTCTTCCTTAAGTGTGTTGTCCAGTATTCTAGGTGTCGCCTGATCAATGCTAAATATAAATGAAGAATGGCTTCGCTCGATTTTAATATTGTACTTCTGTTGATGTAGAGTAGGATTACATTTACTTTGTTTTTGATTGCTTTTTGCAGCCTGTAATTCATAGTTGAATCATGTTGAACTTGTCCTCCACTAAAACACAGTACTTTTCCATGTACTGCTGCTTAATATCATCTCTTCCACCCCATGCTAGGAAGACTTTTGATCCTTCCAGAACTTTTATATGTAGAAAACACAACATCTTTATGTTGACTATATTTCTCATCATAATATTTTTTAACGCTGGATCCAAGTCATGTATCCATCTGTTGAAAGTGCAAGGTCTAAGACTGAGCAAAGACATTTTCAAGATTGACATGTACACTTTTGGTATGATTATTCAATATGTTTGACATCCAACTAATAGTAGCATTGTCAAGTTCACATTTTGCCATTCATTTTATTTATCAAGATTTAATCGTAGATATGTTAAATATTTTGCTGAAGCTAAACTACTATATGTGTAATGCATTCTTGATTAGCTAAACTGATCACTGACAAAAAGAAAATCTGCCCAGCTGTCTTTAGTTAGTCAAATCAATGTAGTTTAATTTAATCAATGTAGTTTAATTTAATGAAATGTTGTAAAAATAACTAGCTATTGAATTGGTTATTACATTATAAGAACCTCATCACTATTCTTTGTAAATATATGCACAAAGCAGAGATTGATTACAAAAATGTTGCTTATGTATATTATTTTTTATAAAGTCTTCTTTTAAATTAGGCTTTCGATATTTTTTATGTTTATTTTTTAAAGTTGTTATATAGTTGAAACTACTACAATACAAGTAGTAACTTTTTTGTTTTAGTGAACAGTTACAACTTGCTAAAATTTTCACATGTTTTACTCCAGCTAGATTTTCTCAGTAGGAATAAGCTCCTGATTTAGAATAAAATCAATATTTGGTATTTTATTTCAATTGTCTGTCCAGTTAGCATTTAAATGTTAAAAATTTATCACAGTACAATTAGAAAAAGGCTGAACAAATATGGTTTATTTAGAAGGATTGCCAAGAGAATGCTTCTTCTCTCTAAAAAAGAATATGCTAGCACTGCTTATGTTTGCAAAGTTGTATCTGAATAAATCACAAGACTTCTGGAACAGTGTATTTGGACAAATGAGACCAAAGTGGAGATGTTTGGCCATAACGTATAGGGCCATATTTGGTGAAAAGCAAACCCAGCATATCAGCACAAACATTGCATACCAACTCTCAAACATGGTGGTGGAGGAGTAATGATTTGGGCTTGTTTTGCAGGACCCTGGACACCTTGCAGTCCTTGAATCAACCATGAACTGTATACCAAAGTATTCAAATCTGAGGCCATCTGTCCAACAGCTAAAACTAGGCTAACATTGGGTCATGCAACAGGGCAATGATCCCAAGTACACCGGCAAATCTGCAATAGAATGGCTGGGGTGGGTAGTGGGTGGGGAAGAATCAATAACCTAGTCAAAGTCCAGACCTCAATCCGATTGAAATACTGTGGTGGGACTTTAAGAGAGCTGTGGATAAACAAATGCCCACAGAACTGAAACAGTGTTGTAAAGAACAGTGAGCCATAATTCCTCCACAACCATGAGAGACTGTTAAGTTATGCAGAAAATGATTGCTTCAAGTTATTGCTGATAATGCTGGTTCTACAAGCTATTGAATGATAAGGTGTACTTAGTTTTTCACACATGGCTTCTCCATTTTGGCTTTCTTTTTGTAAAATAAATGATGACATGGTGTAATATGTCATGTGTTGTTGTTTAACTGAAGTTGTATTTACCTATTTTTAAGAACTGCAAAGGACCAGATGATTTTTACTATGTTCTGATATGTAAAACCATAGAACTCAAAAAGGGTGTAGCTTCTTTTTTCTTTGACTGTACATATTTTTTCTTTCTTCTTCTCTTTTTCATTTTTTATATCCCTTTTTTTCTTTCTATTTTTTTGTAGTTTGTATCATTATTCTCTTCATTTATACTTCTTAATAAATTTTTTAAAATAGAAATGCATATTTTAATAATATCACGTTAATTCTGATAAACATTTAAATTCCAATATTGAAAGTTACACTATTTGCACTATTTGCATTTTGGCCATTTAACATTCAAAAGTATTTTTCCTTGCAGATTGCAGCTACATTAACTTTACCATTTGATGTAATAAAAACACATCGACAGACTGAGCTTTGGGAACTTGATATTACACATTGTAAGTTTTTTTAAGATTCAGAAGTATTCTAGTTCCGTAATGTCTTCCTATTTTAGTATATACAAAACTCTATTTGGGGCTGCAGGCTTTTATTATTGATGTGTTTATAATATCAAGAATTGAATATGTTCAATCCTAGAGTACTTGGAATCAGCAGAATAGTTGCAGACAATGTTACCTCTATAAGGAGGAAAATAATATTCAGAAAATATTAAATTATATTATACATTTTTGGACACATTTTTAAAAATCTGATGTCATATTAGAAAAGGACTTTTTCTTGTTTATAACATAGGATAGAAAGCACAATGATTTTATTACAAATACTACTGTGCAAAATTTACTTCTAAAAGTTAGTATAGTACCTTCTGACTAAAAGAAATATGATTTCTGATTATAAGGAATATACTGTATTTTTCGCTCCTTAAGATGCACCAGACCATAAGACGCACCTAGGTTTAGAGGAGGAAAACAAGACAAAAAAATATCAGGCGGAGCCTGAGAGGACTACAGATAAGTGTCCTCTCATATGCCAGCTTTGGCTATTGACTGCAGAAAAGTAACAAAAGAGGCGGGCAATGACAAAAACAGAAGAGGTGGGGTTCAGTACTGTAAAAGAACCCCGCTGCGGCGACCCGGCTGCTATTCACCAAAAGACCGGCACTGTTTCCACCCACTTTTTTGGGGGGGTGGGGAATGTATCTTATAGAGCAAAAAATATGGTAGTAAGATGCTTTTGTTTTGCAGCGTTTTTGTGTGTCATTTTAAGTGGATTTATTTTAAATCTTATGCTTGTTAAAAACCGCCTTATAGTTAAAAGAAATGTTCAGAACAGATTCTCACTGTATCCCATCTGAAAATAGTCTCTCTCAAGATTAATGTTATTATCATACAGTGGGTAAAACAAAGTTGACATTAAATCATACTAAAAAAGTGTAGAAAAATGAGATGTGTTTTCTTTTACTCAGCTCAACAGAAGAAAACTAGATCAATATTGGAAGTAATGAAGAGAATTGTGATTGAAAATGGATTTACTGGATTATTTACTGGTAAATTCTTGTTTGCTGCTGACTGTAAAATATTTTATTTTTACATATTACACATATAGCAATATCGAAGTTTTTACTACATAATCTAAGAATGCTTTACTATATTGCAGATTTCCCTATAAACTGTTTTGCCAACTTTGAAAAATAAAACTTGAAAATAAATAAAATCTTAGGAATAACTCAATAAATTAGTTTGGAAATATTTATTACCGTCTTTGATGAAAGACTGTTAGAAGGGCTATATAAGAAATGGATATATTAAGTATATTAAAAAGTAGAATAAAACAATTTTGATACATTAATATAACCATATGTTTAAAAGTCTAGTGTTGTGGTCTGCTAGCAGCCTGCGGAGCTGGCAGTGGAGTTGGACAGTGAGGAGGCTGGACAGGAACATGGATCAATCCTGAAGTCTGGGGAAAGCCCAGATGAGGGCTCTGCGTTGGAGGCAGAGATGGGGCCAGGGTCATCTGGGAGTGATGCGCGGACTCCAGAGCCTCCAGAGTCAGACAACAGAGAGGCAGAGGAACAGGAGGAGCCTGTTCCTAGTGCGCCCATGCGCAGAGCTGCTAGAAGGCACGAAAAGTTAAAACAAAAGGGACGACTCAGGAGTAAGACGTGGACATAATTGGCTTAAAAGAGGAGCAAAGGCACTTTTGCAGGAAAGGAATGTTGTTAATTCTGTTCCCAGTCGGCATCTCTGTTTGAACAGAGTGTCAAAGGAGATAAAGGTTGGTGATTATTCCGAAGGAATTCTCCTGAAGGACTTTTTGCAACTAATTGGGACTCAGCTGTGAATGAAAGTAATTCACAGCTGTTGCAATAAAAGAGGTTTTTGGAACTACTCGTGTGTTTTAATGACTCAAGAAGCCTAGATCACAACATTTATATCAGCTTGAGGTGGAATCAAAGGTGACAAAAAAATAGCTTATATTCCAAGTCTTTTTTTCTTATGTGCTATCATGTGCTATTACGTGCTAAGATACTTACACAAAATATTTTCTTGTAGTTAATGGCTCAAATGAATGAATCTTGTAAAGATTGCAAATATCAGAGATTTGTCAGAGTTGCCATTATGTGTACATTTATGTTTGTGTTGGTCTAGTGGTTAAGGTATCAGGCTTAAAATAGAAGACCATGAGTTCAAGTTTCACCTAAGTTATGAAAGCCAGCTGGGTGATTTTAGGCTCTCTTACCCAACCCGTATTACAGTGTTGTTGTTGTGGGGAAAATAGGAGAAAAGTGTGCTATTTGTAAAAATAATCAATGCAGGATACAAAAAAATAAATATACCATATTTTTCAGAGTATAAGACACACCCTTTTCCCCCCTAAAAGAGGCTGAAAATTTGGGTGCGTCTTATACTCCGAATGTAGCTTTTTCGAAGCTTTTTTTCAGCCCTAACAAGGCGGTAATGAGGCGCTAGTGAGTGAAGCGATCCTCCCAGCTTTGCCTGCTCCCTCGACTCCGCTGTGCTTTAATGAGCAATCTTACTAGGCGCTAGCTGAGTGAAGCAATCTCCCTGTGCTTTGCCTGCTTTTCTCATTGCTGCTTCCTCTCAGCTGTGCCTTAGAAGCTGTTTTTTATCCCCAAGCAGAGAATAAAAAACCAGCAAGCTAATGTGCTGAAGCTGACCAGTCTAAGGACGCTAGCCAGATGAATACCTGGTAGGCAGATTTTTCGCCCTATTTTCCTCCCCAAAAACTAAGCTGTGTCCTATATTCCGGTGCGTCTTATACTCTGAAAAATACGGTAAATAAATAAAATCAAACAATAATTTGACTAACATCCCAATTATACAGAATTTATTCTCAAGCATGTTTTAATACAGATTTGAGTAACTACATTGTTAGCTTGTGTGTAGCATTAAGTTATACAGATCCATCTTAAATACTTCTTTGGGAATGTAAAAAAGCAAGCAGTGGTTTTATAGACGAGTATATTGTTTTGGAAGGTCTTTTTTCAATATCTAGTTTTTTGTGATACCTCATTTTTCAATACCTATAATTTTTCTTTCCCACAGGTATTATTCCAAGACTGACAAAAATTGCTCCTGCTTGTGCCATAATGATCAGCACATATGAATATGGGAAAACTTTCTTTCGTAGTTTAAATAAAGACAAAGATATGAAGAACTATTAATGTTGTTTCTGTAAAATTGAAATGATGTCAGTACTTAGTATGCATAAAGGTCCACATAAGCTGTATTTTATTACAGTTTTTAGTCCACATATGCATCCATGCCTCTACCAACATTATGTTCAGAATTATTCCCTGTATGTTTGATATCCAAAAAAAACTCTATCATGCTTTAAACATAAAATATAGTTAATCTTGCATAAACATATGGGAGAGAAAAGATTGAAATAAGCACATGTTTCTGCAAAAGAAGTGAGTACATAAATTTTAAAGCAATTTTCAGATACATACAGTGGTACCTCAGTATTTGACTGCTCTGAAAGTTGTAGAATTTGGTACTTGATACATTTTATTCAAAAATTTTGTCTTAGTACTTGTCATTCCTTTGGTACTCAACGCACAAGCTAGAACTTGTTGATTTTAGCTGCCTTATGATTCGCTGTCCTTTCCAGCCAAAACAAAGGGTCACGTGTTATCTCTGGCCCTATGCACATCCTCTTGCAATCTTAGTTTCTGTGGTCATTTTGTGTATTTTTGTGCTTTTCTTCTAATCATGGGTCCTAAGTAAAAGAAGAGTAATAGCATTGAACAGAAAAGAAAATTGCTTCGCACCACCAATGAGCAAAAAAAGAGGAAAAGAAATAACAGACAAATATGACAGGGGCATTCACATTACTGATTTTGCTAGGGAATATAATGTGCCTAGAAGAATAAAGAAGTGTTCCCAAACACTTGAAACATTGTTGTTAATTTGGGTAAACAAAAACAAGCAGTGGGTGACATGTCAGAAGGCATGATATGTGAAAAAGTGAATCTGTCGCATGATGATCTTTTGAAAAACAAACCGGCACCAAGTGGTGAAAGTGTTGAAGTTTTTAAAGCCAGCCATGGTTGGTTTGATAATTTTGAAAAGAGGACTGCCATCCATAATGTGAGGCATGACAAGGCAGTGAGTGCTAATAAAAAGGCTGCTCAATTCACTTGTGAATTTCATACAGGCTGATGTTTTTATTCCCCATCAGTTTTTTAACTCTGATGAGACCAAACTTTTTTGGAAAAAAATGCAGAGTACAACCTACCTCACAAAAGAGGAGAAGGCATTACCAGGTCACAAAAACTACTTGATTTTTAAGACCCCACTAGCATTCCCACAAAACAAATGTGGGAATGCTAGTGGGGTCTTAAAAATCAAGCCTCTACTACTTCTATCATAGTGAAAACCTGCAAGTTTTCAAGAAGCATGTCATTAAAAAGGAAACTCCATGTGATGTGGAGAGCAAACAGCAAAGCTTGGGTCATGAGGCAATTTTTCACCAAGTGGATAAATGAAGTGTTTGGTCCTTCCGTGAAAAAATATTTACAGCCAGAACTGCTTTATGTAGTCCTGTTTGCTACATGTGTCATACAAGAGTAACAAGAGTGAAAAGAACAGGTAATATTCTATAGATTAGAAGAAAACAATTCCATGTTGATTAATACTATGTAAATGATCTCATTAAAGTGACGTATGGAAAAATTCATCCAGAATGGCTACTCTTATATAATTCTGTGCCCAAAAGATGATAACAATATGGTTAAAGCTTTTAAAGACAATTTTAGGCCAAATTGTGACTCATCAATATATATGTTCAGCAATATTGAAAACTGCAAAGGAAGAAAGAAAATATAACAGCATCTTTCTTTGTGCTGTCAGTTTTGAAGCACTGATTGACTTTCAGGTACAGCAATATATATGTGCGATTTTTCCAGATAAAAAGCAAGTTTTCAGTATTCGAATAATCATTGTTCCTAGCATTTGTCTATAGCACTGTCTTGCTTAGCAATAGAAATTTTGGGCTCAGTTGTGGTCATAAGTGAAGGACTACCTGTATTTGTATAGTAACTATTGATAAAATACACTGATACTTTAAAGAAGCATTTGTCTTGAATAATTAGATTCCAATGATAATGAAATCAATTTCTACAGTTGATTTTGACTGCTTAGTGCTACTGAATGTAATCTGGGAATATTCCAGTCATCAAGAAATAGTACAACTATAGATAGCAGTGGTACAAAATGTTTAATGTATCTGCAATGTCGATACAACAACTCAACACATTTGCATAATTTTTCATTCTGAAAGCTTGGCAAGTTTTCAAATTCAAGACACTCTCTTCATGCACAAGCATTGATTCAATTGTTTTTTTTCATACATACATTAAAATTTTTCATCCATCTATTCCAATCAGTCATCAACTATTATAAAAACATAACTGTTCTAGATCAACAACTTACTGGACCATACTGGATTTTACATACAAGCTTGTTAGTGTTAGTCTACGTTATATTTCTCATTATGTTCTTAAAAGATATTAATTTCACAAGAGATAACATGCATTAAATTATCAGGTAGCTAGTATACCGTATTTTTCGGAGTGTAAGACACATCAGAGTATAAGATGCACCTTAGTTTTGGGGGAAGAAAATAAGAAAAAAGATGATTGGCGGTTGGATTGGCCTCCTGGAATACCCCCAATCAGCTGTTCCCAGAGGTGAATTTTAGCAACAGGTTTGCCTTGCTTTTTTTTTCAGCCTCTGAAACTTTGTTTCAGAAAAAACTTTTTTTTCTGCCTCTGAAAGCGTCCGAAACAAAGCTTCAGAAAAGCCTCTGAAACTTTTGTTTCAGAGGCTTTTTTCCTGAAGCTCTGTTTGGAGGCTTTTTTCTGAAACTTCATTTCGGAGGCTTTTTTCAGCCTCTGAAACCTCCGTTTGAGAGGCTGGCAGGGCTACATTTGGAGTATAAGATGTACCCAGATTTTCATCCTTTTTTGGGGGGGGAAAGGTGCATCTTATATTCTGAAAAATACGGTATGTCATTTGACAAAGCAGGAGCTATTTCATTTAAAAAGTTAGCTCACCACATACGTTAACACAGTAAACTTACTAATACAAGATTTTGAGTAATGTGCTTCCCTATCTTATTTGTTTTTCAAAGCAAGTCTTACTGGAGGCACGTCATTTGTTTAAATTAGTAGTAGTCACTCTGACAATTAAATTTCTGCACTTGTAGATACCCACATGTTGCAGTACACTAGTAAACAATGTACAGAACTTCTTTGGCACAATAAAGCATTTCCTCATAGTCCTCAAAATTAGAGGTCCCTGTAAGTATGAATGTTTTACACAAGATCGTATTAATATACTCAACCATTGCTAGTAATGCTGGAAAATAAACTCTTACTAAATAGAATTGCACTTCAAAGTTTAAATTGCAAAGCTTCAAAAATTAAATAAAGTTTACTGTTATCATAGCTATTTGGCCCTCATTTTAAAATTTTATTACAGAATAAATAGCAAAAAATAGATTTAATCAAAAAATTGCAAAATACTTAAAGCATTTATATGAAAATCTAGTGTCATATTTTCTTAGAGGTTTTAGAATGAACTACTATTAATTGTAATATTTTCCTTGCAGATTGAATCTAGTGATTAAGAATAGTTTTCCTTTATACTGGATTTTAGTCTTAATTGTTTGTTGAAAACATGAATATTGTTATGGAGTTGATGTGTATTTTTGTTTTCAAAAACAGTTTTTTAGATTTATGGAAACAAAAAAGAAAGCATTTTTAAAAAATTGAGTTGACATTTTATAAGTCTTAATGATAAATTAAGAAATGCCAATTGAATGCAGACACAAAAGCTTCTTTCTGTTTAGACTTGTTCAAGAAGGTGTTAGTCCAGGACTTGTTATCTCTGTTGTAGGACTTGCAAGACATTCACTTGATTTCAGGCTGGTGAGAGATTTGTAACTTGCAACTGATGTCAAAGAACCACAAAGGCCAAGTAATGAAGGAGTATCTTCTTTTCCTATTGAAGAAAGTTTTAACTCTTAGTTTAATAGTAGTAGTAAACACATGAGATGTTCAAGGCAGGATTAAATGGTTCTTTCTCTAAATCTTCTACCCAAACCACTGCTATTTCAAGAAAGTAAGTAGGATTGTATACTTCACATTCTTCTTTCAAGCTGCTATTATATGTGCTGATGAACAGGAACAAACTCATGAAATTTCCCTTGTACATAGCATGACAGAATCAAAAGCAAATCATATTAAAATACCAGAAATTACTATGCCTATATTTTTCATATAATATAATATATTTTATTATTTTTCTATCTTCGCCTGTATATTTTCAAATCAGCATTTTTGTTGAAATACCAACTGTGCTATATCCAAATAAGCTTAGAAAGGTTAAATATTTATTTACCCTAGACAACCCATGACTCGTTGGATCATCATTTCAGAGATATTTCCTTCCCTAAACAGAGACTCACCATGGGCAAAAAACAGTGGGATCAGGAGTAACTTCTAACTTCCTGGTAGTCCTGCTAGGTTTCAAAGTATATCTAGCAGGGTTTCCAGATTCTGTAACAGTTATGCCATCCACCTGGTAAACTTGCAAGATTTGTTTTTCTCATCGTGTACATGTATACATCTGAACTAGACTGTGTTTTTTCTCTGTAGTATAATAAATGTGGGTATATGCTTATTTTTGTATTTATTTATTTTTGTCATGTTTATGTAGTGTATATTGGAGGTGGTGACCCTTTGAGAGCTGCATGCAATGAAATTTCATTTTAATGTATGCCAATTAGTGTACATTCGAAGTGACAATAAAATTATTCTAAGTCCTGCCGGTTTGACTGCAGCTGACTATCCTTCAACAGTTTATTGTGGGATTAATCTATCCAGCCTCTGGTAGATAGATCTACCTGATCTCCAGTGGCTAAAGAAGGGCCTGGTCTACCTGATCTCCAGACTAGTCTACTGAATCTCTGGGCAGGGGCACATAGCAGTATTGAAGGCCACAAATTTGCCAATTTCAAGCTACTTCCCCATCCCACCAGGCAGAGGCAGGGAGCTCTTATGGCTAAAGAAAATAAAATCTCAATGGTTTTTGAAGATGAGCTAACACAACTATTTTATTCTACGAGACAGAAAGCAGTGTCAAAAGTGTTTCAGTCCAATCAATTTAAAATATCAGACTTACACTGAAATGTAGGTTTATTGTATTTTGTTATGTTATTCAAACCGTTTTGCAATTCTACAATTTACCATAAGATGGAGTTTTATTCTTTGATGAAAATATTTTTTCAACATTATGGCAGCTTCATATTAATTTCAGACCCCACACTACAACCAATACCAGGACAGAGTTCGACGGATTGTAATTTGCTCTCAAAATCAAAGCTGAACAGATAGCAAAGGGATTAGATAGATAGAAATATTACATAAATTTGTATTATCTATGAAAACTATATAATTATATTGATTCTCCAAAAGGTAAGAAAAAGCAGGGATTCCATGTTCCAAATACTGCCTGAATAAATGTAATTGTATTACTCCACAACAATATATACATAATATCATTACAAATCAGGCAAGTATAGTCTCAAACCTATATGTAAACAGATTACAAATCATACATTTATGCTATTTATACTAAATTCATTCAACTGAATTTAATTTTGAATTGCAGATTTGTATTTCTCAAGCTCTACGTAGAACAACTGTATAGTCTTAGGTATACCTGGAAATTAGTCATTATGCACAGATATTTGGGATTGTTCACCCTACCTTCACTAAGTAAATTTAGTCCATCTTGCTTCCCATCTGCATCAGGTGGATTACCTGGATCCAGGGATGTCTGAGAAAAGCTTACATCAGCAGAGAGCTGGTCCAGGCTGTGATAACTCTTTCTGCAATATCAGTGACAATTAATTTCATTACTTTTGAACTGATACGCAGGAGAAATAACTATTTTTCACAATTTTCTATTTCCAGTATATCTTTTCATACAACTATGCATCCTTTAAATTATCTCCCCTGCCTCTGCCTCAAAATGTGTAACACAATATAATACATAAAATTGAAAAGGAGTTAAGACCATTAATACTATACTAATTGGAATTCAGCCCATAAACTTTTTTTTTTAATTCACATTTTTAAATTTTTGTTTGATTCTGCATTTTGTATTATTTTAATGGTAGTATAATATATTTGCTATTAGTGTTGTCTTATTTTATCACTTGAAAATTTTAATATATATATGTTTGTATATAATTAGCTATAGACTTATACAATTGTTTCAGTTGTTATCAAGTCTTAGTATTTATCAAAAATATCTAGGTATTTTGACTGAAAGAAAAGAATACTTTTTCTAATAATACTTTCAAAAAGTTTCAACAAAAACTGGGTTATTAATATTTCATTGTATCTTGCAGACGTAAGCAATATTACCAAAGGCAAATAAAACTTAACAAAAGTGATTACTCATAACAGTTATATTATCAATGCTATACCAAGCTAAAATGAATTGTAATACCATAGAAGCATACATGTGTCACATTCAAAAATGCCCCATCATATAAGCAGGATACAACTAGTGCATTATTATTTATGCCCTTTTGTATCATTTGCCTTTCCTGCATTGAATTTCTACACTGTTATAATTGGATAATGCAGATGCAGACCTACACTTTCCTTATATATACTTCTGTGTGTATATATGTATGCACTCACACAAACACAAAACTGAAAGTAAATTATGCTAATTGGTTGAAATATTTTGTCCTTAAAAATAAAAGTACAAATTTATTAATCTACATTAAATATGCATTTAAAATAAGGTTAATCCAGTGAAAGATCCCCTTTGAAATATATTAAATTCATAACAAGATGTTAAGGGTTGAATGTTACTTTCAATATGTTGAATGTGTAAAATTGTGGAAGGGTCATTAGCATATATGTTTGGGACTGCTCCAAAATGGTCCCTTTTTTATTTAATATTAATAGATATCTTAATAGCTTATTGGGAAGATAAATGAGATACAATGATACCGATGTAATATTGAACTATTGTCATATATTTGGAATTCAACATGCTTGATAAACTCATGATTTATCAAGCATGAATTGTAGCTAGAAATTAATGAAAATACATTCAATCCTTATTTGAAAGCCTGGACTGATGAAAATATTCATTTTCTACTATCAGCTGTTTGGTATTGACATCTAGACAGTTTGATCTACATGTCTTCATGTGGTCAAAGTTCGATTTGTTCTTTAATAACTTTAATGTATTTTATCATGAGTACTCAGAAAAATATTTTCTCCATTTATTTTTGTTCCGATGGTGTTTTTTTCTTTAATGTAAGCAATATTTTAAAAAAAGAAAAAAACCAGTCAGAGTCTTTGCTAAGGGATGTATGCATTTTAAAAACATTACTTAACCAAAAATGAAAACTTTAAACCTTAACATCAGTCTATATAAACATAATCAGATCCAATTTTTTTAACCTGTATGTCGCTTAGATACAAAAGGCAGTATCTGAGCAAAGGGTTACCCAAACCAACATCTCATTTATATTCCAAGTCTTTTTCCCATTCATAACTCTAAGTGTAATTAATCTTTAATATATAAAATGAATAGAAAATAATAAGCACAGCTAACTATCACTTCCTTACCAATCATATATTATTTTAACCATGCTAATTGGAACCTACTGGCACTGCTACTTCTTTCCTTGTTGTCTGTCTTGTTCTTGCCTCTCACAAAAAGCAAGCACACGTCATGTTGCAAAAGCAAAGATTATCAGCTCTTCTCCTTTCACAAGAAAAAATATATGTTTCTTACAAAATATTACATTAAACATAGTTGTAAATTATTTCAATTATTTTTCTTGGAAAGCAAGGCTTAAATATGAGATAAAACATAACTAAGCTATCAAATATCTGATTGTAACACTAGTCCTAATTATTATAATCCCCTTCATGGATTACTGCCTTGTTGTGGTGAAGGGGCTTGCATAGCTCAATGAAGCTATGAGCTATGCTGTTCAGGGACACCCAAGATGGACAGGTCATAGCAGGGAGTTCTGACAAAACGTGGTCCACTGGAGAAGGAAATGGCAACCCACTCCAGTATCTTTGCCATGAAAACCCCATGGACAGCACCAAAAGACAAAAAGATATGACTCCTGAAGATGAGCCCTCAGGTTGGAAGGTGTCCAATATGCTACTGGGGAAGAGCAGAGGGCTAGTACTAGTAGCGCCAGAAAGAGTGATGCGACTGGGCCAAAGCCGAAAGGACGCTCAGCTGTGGATGCATCTGGTAGTGAAAGGAAAGTCCAATGCTGTAAAGTTTTTTTCTCCATAGGAACCTGGAATGTAAGATCCATGAATCAAGGCAAGCTAGACGTCGTCAAAGAAGAGATGACAAGGGGCGGGGTTTGGCTTCCATCGCCGTCAGACGGTCCTTTGAGACCGCCAGCCCTGTCGCTCATAAAGAGCCGCCTTTACATTTGAAAGGCGGCTCGAAAAACTCCATTTCCTTAAGGAAATGTGAGACAGAGCAGGCGAGGGCAGATAGAGCCCTCTGCGAAGTCCCCAGAGTTTTTGTTTTACTCTTGGGGACGAAGCAGGATGAGGCTCCCTCTTTTCCTCACCGCTGCTCCGGGCTTCGGGAGAACTCTGCTTTTTGCAGAGCTAGGCGACAGGACCAAGCCATTTACTGAGAACTAACAGATTGTTTAAACAAAGAGGATGAGATCTGGACTCTGGACCCTAAATCGCAAGTATTTCTAACAATTTTATAAACGATTTTAAAAGCGAAGGAAAAAAAGTTTAAAATGGCGACTAGCTGAGGCTTGAGAAGAAGAAAGCTGAAAGTGAAAGTCCTTCCGCCTGAATAGTTTAACAAGCTACAAAGTAGCAGAAATAATAGCGCTGGCTAGAATTGAAAAGAAAAATTTCTACTTTATGTTTCTTTCTTCTTGGAGATTTGATTTGATATTGATATTGTCTGGAGAGAAGTCCTTTTCTTTAAAAAGAGTTTTTCTGTGTGGCAGGATGGCGTCTAAACTAACAAAGCCAGACAAACCAGCAGCGGGGGGGGGGGTTCCTCCATTTACAAACTATGTGAACAAGTTTCGAACTTGCAGAATGGTTTTAACCTAAAAGAATTTGTTTTGGAGGAAATGGCAAGACATGACGAGATTGTGAACCAGAATTTTGAAAAATTTAGGCAGGAAATTAAAGAATTGATACAACTAAAGTATGATAATTTGCAACGAAAGATTGTAACAGTGACTAATGCTTTTTCAGAAATAGTCATAAAGATGGATAAAAATATCAAGTTATTAGAGTCTAAAATGGAGGAAGTTGATGATAAGATTTATAATTTGGATAATAAAATACAAAGAATTGAAAATGATTTGATAAATATTCAAGATAATAGCTCAGAAGTAAAGTCTAAAAAGGAAGCTGATCACGAGACTTACAATGCAGAAAACATAAAACAAGGGATTGAAAAAGAAGTTACAATGATGCAATACAGGCTCATGGAATTTGCGGTTAGAATGAGAGGCTTACAGGAAAATAATAGAGATGATTTAAGAAAAATATCTGCTGAAGTTCTGGCTGGGATTTTAAAGGTTCATCCTGAGGAGGTATCTTATAAGATTGACAAGGCCTATAGAGTAAATTCTTGGATTGCAAAGCAAAGGCAATTGCCTAGAGATGTGGTGATTTACTTTACAGATAAAGGAATAAGAAATGATATTGTGCAAAAATCCTTTAATTCTACTGTACAACTGAATGGAAGAAAGATCTGGATATATAAAGAGTTGCCGCCCAAGATGTTAAAAGACAAAAAGAAATTTGGATTTTTGGTGACTGAGCTAAAGAAACAAAACATCTCACTCAGGTGGGATGCTCCAGTTGGTATAATATTGAGATATCAAGGAGAAAGATATCAAATAAATACTGTTGAAAAAGCGGAAGAATTTTACTATAAGATTCTCAAAATGGGTTCAACATCTCCATGTATAATATATGAGTGGAATAAAGAAAAGCAAAATCAACAAGAGATAGAAATTCAGGATAAGCAGATGGAGGTGGAAGTAATGGAAAAACAACAAGTTACAGAGGTCTTTGTAGATGAGCCGCTTCTGGATTCTCCTTCAGAGGTCTCAGCTGGACTATTTATAAATACAAGAGAGGCGGCTTTGGATTCTAATGTGATGACTTATCAAGTAACAGACCAGTATGGAAATCAATCAGTTGATATACAACTCATAGAAAAGAAACCAGAATAGAGATCTACGCCACAAAAGCAAAACCAACAAGATCAAGTTATAGATCAGCATGGAAACCAAACAGTTGATATACAACTTACAGAAAGGAAACCAGGATGGAGATCTAACCCACAAAAAGTCAAGAAAAGAAGAAGCAGGTCTTACAAAAATAAAAACTTTTAGACTAAACAACAGTGTAATGCCAGTTATCTAAGAGATGATTGAATACATGAAAATATAGCTGAGGCAAAGTATTGGTTTATATTATCTTGAGGAGAGTGACAGACCTCTGCAGTGCTGTACTTTTGGGATGTGAAAATGGCCTTAAACTGAATGGATTGGAACTATCTATTTTGAATTCTTTGATAAATGTATTACGTTTATGCTGAGCTACAAGGCAAGAGAGTTATGGGTTTGGGGCACGCAGAAGATCTGGTTGTTACCCTATTACGATGGTTGGAATTAATAATTTAGATGAAAGACATTACAATAGACACTATATGGAATACAAATATAAAGTCACTTTATATTTATCATCTACTTTATCATCTACTATTGATGGGGGCAGATGGTAATTGAAGATACTGAACATACTGTTGGAATTAGGATGTGATGTTACCCTA